TCATCAAGTAGGTAAGATAATACTATTTACAGATTTCAGATAATAAAAAATTGATCGATGTAGCCTAGAATAATACATTTCTGACACAGGAAAAATATTTTTAGGTAACTAGTAGATCCTTACAAAAAGTAGTGGTGTTCACCTAGAAAGTATCAGGCCCTGGGATTAATTTCCAGAATCAAATAAATGAATAGACAAAACTTAAGCAGTAGATACCACTTAAGCAGTAGAAGACAAGCAGTTCTTTTTCTTAAAATTCACACTATTAAATATATTCATTATATTTTGCAAAAATAGTCACAAATCTGAACAAATTTCTAAACTCAATAGCTTCTTTAGGTTATAACCTTTTAAACATTAAATAAAAAGAAGTAACTGTAAGATTCTCTGGACTGTTGTGGGATATTTGTACACCATGTGAAGATGGATTTGCTGTGATTGGTGTAATAAAAAGCTGAACAGCCAATAGCTAGGCAGGAGGTATAGGCAGGTGGGATTTCCAGGAAGAGAAAAGAAGAGGAGGAGGAACCAAGGTACAAAGGAGACACCAGGAGACATGGAAAGGAAACAGGAGGTGCAAGATGGAAGAGAGGTAATGCTAACTGATAGAACGTAGATTAATATAAATGGGTTAATTTAAGTTATAACAGCTAGATAGAAACAAGTCTAAGTTATAGGCCAAGCTTTCATAATTAATAAGTCTCCATTTGGGAGCTGATTGGAGGGACAGAGAAAGGCTTGTTACACTAGACTTTAAAACAAGGTGTTTTTGTAAGTTCCTGTTATGATCAAAAGTTTCATCTCTAATTCACCATTGAAGGAGATGTGGAAAAAATAATTAAGTGGGTGCAAGGTACAAGTGAATGTATGACTCATAGTTCACAAAGTAAAATGATTTGGGGAAAGGCACCGGAAGGAGAGGAGCAAATAATGGATTCTGGATGAAATGAAGACCTTTCGTGTCCAAGGACTGTCACCAGTTCTTTATTACTTGAGGATTAAGGGAATAGTGAATAAAGCTGCCTGCCAGACAGCTGAAAAGGTAAAAATAACATTATCTCTATGTATGCCTCACTTGAAAATATTCAGAAATAACATTCGTAAAATTAAGCTTTCCATTAAAGGTTCCTGGAGTATCAAACTGAAATCAGAATAATGAAAATGTCAAAATAAACTGGGATTAGATTTTTCCCAAGAACCTGAACAGAATGAAACAATAGTGTGGGTCAAGTTGTAAATCACCTACGTTTGTTCCACTTGGTTTCAGAAAAAAGCAAATATGGTAAAGATTTACTAGGGGAGGCAGTAGGGTTTCTTTTTGTTTCTTTTTCTACTATATGGGTAAGTACAAAAAAAAAATGTTAGTACTCACAGGAGAGATCAGCAAATTGACAAAATGTGCTTTCATTGTTGAGGTCCAGAAATCAACTAGAAGCCACTCACACACAGTCCCCACGTTATTGTGGTGATATTGTGTCCCCAATATATTGTGCACCCTAATAAACTTATCTGGGATCAGAGAACAGAACAGCCACTAGATAGACATAGAGGCCAGAAAATGGTGGCACACATACCTTTAATCCTATCACTTGGGAGGCGGAGATCCATCCAGATCTCTGTGAGTTCAAGGCCACACTGAAAACAGCCAGGCATAGTGACACACACCTTTAATCTCAAGAAGTAATGGCAAGAAGCAGAAAGGTATGTAAGGCGTGAGGATCAGGAACTGGAGGCCTTTAAGCTTTTAGGCTTTTAGCAGCAGTTCAGTTGAGATTCCATTCAGATGAGGACTCAGAGGCTTCCAGTTTAAGGAAACAGGATTGGCTGAGAAGTTGGTGAGGTGAGGTTAGCTGTGGCTTGTTCTGCTTCTCTGGTCTTTCAGCGTTCACCCCAATACCTGGCTCCGGGTTTTTTATTAATAAGACCTTTTAAGATTCATCTTATACCTTATACTTTTGCTTGTATGTATGTGTGCATAAAACACAACATATATATTTTAATATTTTATGTATATTTAGAATTACTTCCCAGCTCTTTAGTAAGATGATGCATAAGTTGCACTTTAACATGGGTTTTGTTATCTTTCCATTATCAGTCTATATGGGCTGATGAAGTTTTCTGCAACACTAAGTTTCACCCTTTGTGAATATATTTAAATCTACATTTACATCTATGTAGAGTTCCTACTACCTGACAGCATTCATCAAAGACCTTACACACATGAACTCTTTTGAAAAGGCCAGATAAATTTTGTTAATTGTTATATATTGCCTGGGGTGAGGTAAAAAAAAATACTTTCATGATAAAACAAATATAATCCCTGTCACTGGTAGGTGAGCAACATCCAATTTGTCTAGTTTACTTGATCCCACTTAAAGAAATCTCTAGAAAAATAAATAATGCAAGGATTCTGTTTGCGCATGTTTTGTCCAAGCGAGACATAATTCTAGGATCTTTGCTCTTAACCACAAATCAACATGTCTCCCATACACTGGAAGAGGCAATATGTGATTTTCTTCCCATTTGATTACTGTTATTACTGAAACAGGGTCTCACTGTGTAGACCTGGCTAGCCACAAACTCACAGAGATCTACCTAGTTCTACCTCCCAAATGCTGGGATTAAAGGAATAAGCCAGTAGGCCCAGCCTTACGAGTGCTTTTAAAATGAAAGGACTAATTTGATAGAGATAGATAGATAGATAGATAGATAGATAGATAGATAGATAGATAGATAGACAGATAGATAGATAGACAGATTCAGTAATGAAGATAAGAGATATTTCTGAAGTCAATACATAAAAGACATTATCAATATTATAAGCTGACAATTGAAATGGTTTTACTATGATAGGAATTTTTATCTTTAATCAACATACAAAATTATCAGGTTATACTTTTTTCTTTTTGAATATTATATGTGTAAGATTTATGTAATCTCCCTATATATTTTTAATATATTTCATACAAAATTTCAGTTAATCCTGCCTACAAAACTGTTAGTAAGATAGGGATAACGGTTAATTTCATGAATATAATCAGGTCAAAATGTACAAAATGTCATTAAACATTAGTCTAGAAATTTCTATGAAGGTGGTTTTAGAAAAATAGTAATATTTGAATTGACAGGCTCTAAGCAAAGCAAATTACCTTCCGTAATACGGACAGAAAAAAAAAAAAAAAAACTTAATAGGCAGTGATTCTACTAAATCTGAAAAAATGCAGGTCTATTGTACTCAAGCAGTTTCTTCCCTAGGTCTCCAGCCGATCAACCACGCCTGTAGATAAAGTACTCTATAATTTGTACATGTCAATTTTTGAATATCTGTCTCTCTTCCACCCTCCCTCCTTGTCTCTGTCCCTCTCCCCTTAGCACTCTCCCTCTCCCTCCTAAGCCCTTCCCTCCCCTACTCCACAAGCACATACATCCACAAAGACATACACACATCAGTCTTCACTGATCTGCCATTTCACTTTCTATAATTTCAGTTACACAGAAAACTTTTTCCAGATGTCAGGATTATTAAGTTTTAAACTCGCCAGCCATTAAGTAGAATGATGAAAATCTCATGCCAGCCTACTCTTCTCATCCCATCTAAGACATGACTTATCTTTCTGTCCAGTATATCCACATTATATATGCTACCTGTTGATTGTTTATCATCTACCTTCATTATCTATGCTGCTTATAATTAAGAAAACTTTGATGTACTAAATAATGGCTTCTAAATTTGAGTATTGTGATACTGGCAATTCAGATATGCCAAAGGAAAGTCCAAAGTTAAGTGAAGGGATAAAAAATCATGACTTCATAAGGAAAGACAAAACATGATTGCTGAAGTTGCTAAAAATCTATAGTAAGAATTATTAGATACAGATATACACACATACTATATATACATATATAGACAGAAAAGTTTATATATATACATATATGCATACATATATATATGTATGTATGTATGTGTGTGTGTGTGTGTGTGTGTATATATATATATATATATATATATATAGTCTGACACCACATTTCCAAGCATACAAAGAGTCTCGAACACATCCTCTGCAAAATGATGGCATTATTACACATACACACACACACACACACACACACACACACACACACACACACACACACAAAATTGGTTTGGAATCTCTGGAGATTTCTGAATAACACAGATGTGTACTGGAAATATAGAGTGAAGAAACTAGGAACAGGGATTCAGATACTGATTTTGTCTCTAATCACTCCTAAAAAGATTATACAATTCTCAAGAAACTGTTCTGGAATTGAGTTTTCATACTCAACCTCTCAGCAAGTGTGTATCATTCTGACAGCTGTGATTTGATAATACTAATCAACTCAGGTAAATAATTTCTCAGATTTTAAACTGCCAATCACTAAAGCGTTCTGTCTATTGGTATATACGTAAGAGAACTGAAATCATACAGCCACACAAAATCTTGTGCACAAATGTTCATAACACAGTAAATAACATAAACAGATCCAAAGACAAATGGCTAAACAAAACATATTATTTCTCCCATACCATGGAGAAACCTGCAGTAAAAAGGAACAAAGTAGGGCTGTGGTTGTAGCTCAGTGAGAAAGCACTGACTAATGTGTGCGACACTCTGGATTTGATGCCTAAAATCACATACATGCACACATACATACGGATAAAAATAAAAAAGCACATGCTACAACATGGGTTAATCTTTAAAACACACTAAGTAAAAGAATGTAAGCATAAATCACACTTTAGGCAAATCCAAAATGACATAAAATAGTTTAGTGGTTTTCAAGGTCCGGACAAAAGCAAGTAAGAGACCAACCGCCAATGGATATATGAGGCTTATCCATGTCCTAAAAAGCTTCCAACCTAAATGATAGTGGTAACTTCACAAGCATATCAATACACTAAAGAACACTCAATTATATATTTTTAAACAGTGAATTGCAATTCAATAAAAAGTTAAAATGATTTTAAAAAGTCAACTCACCTGCCCTTTTTGTGGTGTCAAGCAATGAACAACTTCATCCACCATTACTGGAATATGTAATTTAGCCATGGCTTCCGGATCTTTCTCTGCAGATCTATGTACCTCCCTAGTGCCACACAGAGCTGTCTCTCCCAGGGATTCACATTCAGTATGGACTGCTGCCGTAGTGTGCATTGCTTGGGGACAGACACCCAAATTAAATGCACCAGACTCCACCCAGCAGTAAAACAGTCCTTTGTGCGTTCTACAAAAATATGAATAGCGAAGCATTCTGTAGATCAACAAATCTAGAAGAGAAAGTTAAAAATATAATGATTTGGGGCTTCTAATCTTCTTTATGTGTATTGATGTTTTCCATGCTTGTATGTTTGTGTGATGATGTCAGATTGCTTGGATCAAGAGTTATAGACAGTTTTGAGCTGCCACGTGGGTGCTGGAAATTGAACCCTGGTCCTCCGGAAGAGCAGCCAGTGCTCTTAACTACTGAGTTATCTCTCTACCCAGTTTCTAATTTTTTTTTTAAAGATACAATACTTGGGAGAAAGCTCATTAACATGAAATGTTTAATACAAAAATAAAAAATTTAAGCCTCATCATCTAAACAAGTAAAGGTGACTGACTTCCTTACATGAAACAAGAAACCTAAGTGAACGCACAAACATAATTTAAATATAATTTCTCACTGGGCATGATGACTACATCTACAATTCCAGAACTCAAGCAGGAGGAATTTCTGAGGAGGACAACCAGAACTGCAAAACAACTTAATTAACTAATTAATTAATTAAATACAATTTTTGTGGTGGCTTTATGAACTCTAAAATCATCCATTTTTAACCCTTATCAATATGAAAATTAGTAACTCATTTTCTGTAATATATTTATTAATTTAATTAGCTCTAAACAGTACAGTCAAAAACTTTAAAATATTTATTTAAAAATTAAACTTGAGAGGGGACTGGAGAGATGGCTCAGAGGTTAAGAGCACTGGCTGTTCTTCCAGAGGTCCTGAGTTCAATTCCCAGCACCCACATGGTGGCTCACAACCATCTGTAATGAGATCTGGCTCCCTCTTCTGGCCTGCAGGGATACACACAAACAACATTGTATACATAATAAATAAATAAATCTTAAAAGAAAAAAATTAAACTTATTCTATGGCCAGAGCACCCAGGGCTCACTCAGTCTTGTCTAAAAAGTAAGCTAGAGCACGAAAGAGAATATAAATATTTTATTTTAGGTTTGGTTCATCCTTTATTTCATGTTCTATTTATTGTTCTCACAGCACCAAATTAACATATTCAACTTAGCTTTGAGAAGACTGGGAGTGTAAAAGAGTAAACAAGGACACCAGACAAGAAAACGAGATCACTTTGTGAAAATCTTGCAGACTGCCAAGAGTCGCAGACTAGATGTGCAGCACAACCTGCCTCCCTACAGCACACACTGAATTAAGCTACAAGTTCACACTCAACTGGGCACGTTTGAGCACTCATTTCTTTTTTCCCTACTGTCCTGAAGATTAAACCCAGCTTACTCACACCACACAAACAATGAAACCCTGAGATACATTTTCATTCCTTTTTTCTAACTGAGATAGGTCTTGCTATGGAACCCAGGATAATCTCAAACTTCCTATCTGCCTTGGCCTCCCAAATATTCCAATTAAAGCTACATGCCATGACACCTTAGTATACTTGGGAATTTCATAGCTACCATTTTGGGTTGGTTTGTCTGGGTTGAGTGAGTGTGGTGTGTGTGCGTGTGCGTGTGCGTGTGCGTGTGTGTGTGTGTGTGTGTGTGTTGCTTCTTGGCTGGTGCTAGATACTAAACCCAGTGCCTGTGTACATTAAGCTCACTCTCTACCTCTAGACTACATCCCTGATCCCCATTTTGGAATGTATATGCCATGCGACCTAAAACCAATCAAATAGATAACATAACCAGTGAGTTTCTCAAACTTTCTCATCTTCTTCTGCAATTTGAAATTCTTCTAATGCAGAAGGGGAAAAGGATACTTACATCAACATATTAACAGGGAAAAAAAGTGAAAGCACTGGTGTTTCACCCAATTAGTTTCAAACAATGTTTGTAATATTTCCATAGTAAATACCCAGTCGGCACTTCCTTCCTCATGGATTAAGAGTTACTTAAGAATAAGTCCTATGATTCCATATCCACAAAATCAAATGAATAATAAGTGCTTAACAAGTGTTTCAGTGGAGAGGAGAAGGAGAACACACAGGCCAGGGGATACATTCCCGACTTCACGATATAAATGTTTTTATCAGTCTGGTCTGATTATACCCACTAATTCACATTTTTCAAATTACTTGAAGAAACAAATCCCATATAAATGTCTCCCTTTCCTTTCGCAATGGAAAGTAAAATAATTCAAATGTACTAACTAAAACAAAATAGAATACAAATGTATGTACATACATTATACAGATAGAGCATCAATAAGATGTTAAAAGATAACACATCAAATTTGCTTTAGAAATAATCCACTGAATTATGTGCCAGTGAGAAATAGTGAAAAGATAAAGGTAGCAAAGAGACTAGAAATAAAATTCTAAAGTGAATTTCTAGACCTTAAGCATCGACAAATCAACCAAATTGTTAATTATTCTTTAAGTTCTCCAGATAACTTAAAAAAAAAACAAGCACAACTACCCTTTCATTTAATGTGTCTAATTTTTTTCCAAAATAATAGCTAATTTTTACTCAGCACTAAGTACCAACAATTCTAAGCAAAATCCATGTTCTACCTCATGCAATCTTCATCATAATTCTTGGAGTTAAGGGTAATTATTCCTATGTTACACATTGAAGAAACGAAACTGCTTGCCACAGAGCCAGAGCCATAACTGTAACTATAACGCAATGGTCTATCTTCAGAGCCTGAGATCTTCATCTTCCGTGTTATAAACATAACCCAGTGGAACTATTTTAATGTATACATTTAATTTAATGGTACACTACATGGACTACATATATGTAGTATCTCACAAGTTATATTTTTAAAAGAAACTATCTTGGCTTTGCTCTACTTGGAAGTAACAGTGTTGTTAGATAACCAATAAAAGGCACTCAATGCATCAAGCAAAAGAATGAAATCTGGAATAATTAAAAACCTATACTCTATGTCCTGACAGTTTTAATAACTTATTTTTATCTTTGAGGGTACACATGAATGCAGGCACCACTAGAGGCCAGAGGCATTGTATGGCCCAAAGCTAGTTACAGGCTGTGGTGAGCAGAATGATGTGAGGACTGAGAACTGAACTAAGGTCTTCCAGGGTACACACACTTAACCACTGAGCCATATCCCTGGCCCCACGTCCAGATTATGACTTTTTTTTTTTAAAGGAAGCACTGCTGCCAACAAAAAACAAAAAACTCAAATTAACCCGGCGGTGGTGGTGTAGGTCTTTAATCCCAGCACTCGGGAGGCAGAGGCAGGCAGATCTCTGTGAGTTCGAGGCCAGCGAGGGCTACAGAGTGAGTTCTAGGAAAGGCACCAAAGCTACACAGAGAAACCCTGTCTGGGGGTGGGAGGGTGGGGAACACCTCAAAATAATGTGTGGGTAAAGTAAATAAAAATAGATGCAAAATTGTTTGCATTGCCATTTTATCCTTTATTGTACTCAAATTTTATGCATTCATTCAACTATGTTCAAGGTAAAGCCTAATTTTGTTTGTTTGTTTTTGAGACTGGATTTCCCCGTTGTAGCCCTAGAACTCGCTCTGTACACCAGGTTGGCCTGGAACTCAGAGATCTGCCTACCTCTGCCTCCCAAGTGCTGGGATTAAAGGCGTGCACCACCACCGCCCAGCTCAAGCATTTTTTTTTTTAATGAACTAAATGGCTAAACTATCTTGAGAACATGGAGAAGGGGTTGCAAATAAAGGATTATTCGTAGTCTTTAGATTATTTGTAGTATCACACTATTGGGATGGTGCCCTAAAAATTATTGAGTACAAACTGTAAAGGGAATTCTGTCTTTGTAGCCCAGTCTCCACCAAAGAAACCATATCCCTCTGCGACCTCGTAAGATTGTTTAATTTACTGCCAGTCAGTAAACCTGGCCTCTAAAGCAGCCTGCAATGTGCTGTAGGTAAACCTTTTAACTTTTCCACACGGGCAATGTTCCCTTAAGCTGTGGAGACCACAAAATTGGCCAGGTTACTCTTTTAATTGTGGGAATACAAACTCGGACTGCTAACCGTTACTATGATTAATCTGCCCTAAGAGAAAATATTACAAATGTAATTCTAATGCTAGAAACAGGACCTGCAGGCTGGCGGGACCTTAGAGAAAAGTGGAAAAGAGAGGATTCCAGTCCGTCCAGGGTAATCTTCAAAGGGAGCATTGGGAACGCTGGGAATCTTCAAAGTCAGGCTGACAAGTAGACACGGGGAAGTTGGGGGAGGGGATTCTACTTCCTTTGCAGGGTGGGGATCCGCTCCCCACAACCACTACACCAAGAGCACCGTCTCCAACCCCGAACTAGCCACTCACAACCTTCCCCTCACCTGAGGAAAGTAGAGTCCTCACTCAGCCTCTAAGATGGGCCAGCCGCGACGCTAAGAAGCAGAAGAACCTGAACTTGCAAGCACCTAGGTCGGGGGTGGGGGAAACTTGAAAGAACGGACTGATGGGCTCAAGTCCGTCGGAGCAACTGAGGTCTGTCCGCCTTTCGTTCCGCTGCTCCCAGCACCTGCTGTGAGAGGTTGTTGTGGGTCAAAGGTTTCCAAAAGACTTGCTAGGGAAATAAGATCTCACCATTGCCAAGTTTAAATACACTTTAATGGTTTAAAAACAAAATGGTTTAATGTTCGACGCAAGTTTAAATCTAACTTTCACTTTTCTCTTCGGTCGACTATAAAAGCACATTAATTTTGTAATGGCTCCATACAACGTCCAATTTCTAACCAAAGATGAAAATTTCAACCTTCTTAGCCCTGTACGTTTGGAAAGTTTTGTTTTTCCCTCTTTCATTTCGGTAGAAAGCATGAGGTTCTCTCGTCCTGTTATTACTTCTGCCAAACTCATGAGTTGCCAACTGCACAACAATGGCATTGATTCTATTGCCAAAACCTCTGTGTTTTAATCAAATGTATGATTCCTCAAGAGTATAGATTTCATAATTGGAAAACTACTACAAAGCAAGTGCAATGCGGAGCTGAAATCAAATGTATAGTATTTGGATTAGGTAGAAGCCTATATAGTGTGGATGTAAAAAAAAACAGATATATGAAATTTATGCATCTTATTCATTTACCAACATAATTTTGCAAGATGGCAAGATAAACATATTTTCAAATTAGATTAAAATATCGTTTTATAATCACTTGACATAGAAAGTATTTTTAAAAAACAAATGGCTGAATTTTGAATTCATTTTCCAAGACAAATACTTTCTTATAGAGATTTTTCTAAAACTTCCGTTTTCTCAAAATAAAATCAAAACAACATGTCTACATCTTATTGACTGTTTTGAGAATAAAGTGAAGTAGTATGTAAGGAGTTAATAATATGCCTGGGACACCAAAGGTCAAGTACTATATAGTGAGGGGATATTTAAAGTAAAATTAACTCTTCTCAATTTTATTGCCAAACCCAGTACAACACAAATTATGTCATTAGTTGGTACATTTAATTCAACCAGAAATAAGCAGTCACTTTATTGTTGTTCTATCTAGGGCTCAGAAAAATTCATAGAACATGCATGATATAAAGTTTGCAATGCGGTCGGGTGGTGGTGGTGTAGGCCTTTAATTCCAGCACTCAGGAGGCAGAGGCAGGCAGATCTCTGTGAGTTCGAGGCCAGCCTACAGAGTGAGTTCCAGGAAACATGCAAAGCTACACAGAGAAACCTTGTCTCAAAAAACAAAAAAAAAAAAAAAAAAAAAAGAAAGAAAAGAAAAAGAAAAGTTTGCAATGCTCCTGATTTTCTTCAATAGAAACAGGAACTGTCCATAATCTGTGAACTTTCAACACAAAATTCCACTAATACCCTCCATAGCTGGGTATGGTGGCCCATGACTTTAATCCCAGCACTTAGGAGGCAGAGACAGGCAGATCTCTGTGAGTTCTTTATCTACAAAGCAAGTTCCAGGCCAACCAACACTACCTAGCAAGAGCCTGTCTCAAAATATAAAATGGATGGATGGATGGATGGATGGATGGATGGATGGATGGATGGAAGGACAGATAGAGCACTACACTGAAACATCCATAATTTTACAGTAATATTCAATCAACTGGAATCTAAACTCCAGGAGGGCAGGGATGTTGACTTCATTATGTATTAATGTGTTCCTAAAATCTGCAAGTAATAATTGCTAAATAAATGGATAGTCACATAAACAATAGCAATGAAATTAAGATCAGAATACTAAATTTATCTGAAGGGCTGAGGATGTCAACTCACTGATAGAAGCCTTGCCTAGCCAGCAATACAAATATAAAATATTCTGCCAAATGAAAAATGAGTTATCTTAGGAAAAATATTTCCCATGTTCCTATGAATTTTTCTTTCTAAAGTATACATTCAGAAATAGTACAATCTGAAACAATAATCACCTGGTTGAATAATGTACTAAGCCAATGTCATTAAGGGATTTTATTATGTCCTGTCATCCTTGGAGCACGTAAAAAGCCGCCAAATACCAAATATTTTCAGTCAGTCATAATAACGAGAACAGGCCAGGAAGCCCTGACAAGGAGACTTGGGACCTGGAGCCACAAGACTCGAACTTAAAATTAATTCAGGTAGAGGCCCCATACCTTCCATAGCATGAAACCTAATCCTTGGAAGCCTGAGTAATCAGAAAGGGAAAAAGAACAAAATAACCCAAGCCCTTAAACACGCCCACAGACCCCGCCTTTCCCCCTACCAGAAACACCCTACCCAAGGCCAGAACGCACCACACCCAAGGTCTGCCACCACACTAAGGGTCCCAGGTGACTGCTTCCCACTTGCACCTCCGCCCTAGCTCCGCCCACCTCAGCCAGGGCTCCCGGAAACGACCGCGCGCGTTGCCACGGCGACGCCCAGCAAAGCAGCTTCCCCCTCCAGCCTGTGTGGCCCAGCCTCTGGCGCCAAACTACGAGACGCCGGGGCAACGTCCGGCGTGGTGACGTCACCAGAGCGGCAGCCAATGATAAGGGCAGCTGAGCAATCTGGCTTGGGTTTGAATTTGTGGCTGCACTTGGAGCGCCTGGAAGCCGACTCTGCCAAGTGGCCGCGGACGCTTCTTCTAGGTGAGTGAGGTGGGCACCTTGTCTGGGGACGCGCGGGTGGATTCTCAGCCGCCGGAGTGGAGGATCCGGCGTCAGCGGCCAGGTCTGCGGACCAAGTAGCTTTAGGCGGGAAGTGCGGGACTAGGGTCCCCTTGGTGCTGCGGCTGGAAGGACCCTGAGCTGCTGTCGGAGGGTTCGGCCTCCACCCCCAGTTCCCAACACCGAGGTCCCGGGCTTCGCCTTTGAGCACAGAGAGGAAGCAGGCCCCTTTAAAGAGTAGCTGGCCCCTTTCCGGGACTCGGACTAAGGGCTCTGACAGTCCAGCCTCTTGGATTGTGTTGGTTCCTTCCGGATTCCAAATTCGGAGTATCCTGCTTGAGATGGACACGTGAGTGTGCGACTTCTGCCTTTTACTGTCAAGCGAGGAGCTTTTGTGCGGAGAGGCTCTCTGGTCAGTCTGAAGCCCAGTTGTACTATCGGGCAAGACGGGCCCTGACTGCCCACCTGTACGGCTGGCGATCACAAAGAAAAATGAAAGTGCCTGGAGACAGCAAGAAGCAGCCCCACATTCTGCTGTTTTTGCAACCCTTCCTGTAGGAGCTCTTTGGCCTTGCCCTTACAAAGAAGCCAACGCTTGCTCTTGCTCATTATAACATGAAAAGGGATTAGTGGACTAGAACTAATTTTCTTGGTGTTGTCATTCCACCTCGCCCAGTTCCCACCTTGGGTTTTGGGAAATTTTCTTTAAATTTGGGGTTAGGGAATATGAATTCCACGGAGATGATAAACAGTACTTGCTATTAAATTCAGTATCTTGTAAGAACTATTTAAGTGGACAAAAATAATTGCCGTGAGAGGTATTCTTATTATTAAACCAGTACAGATATGTAAGGTTTTTCATTTTAAAGAGCATCTTGTCCCACTATAGTTATACCTCAAATCAATAAAGACACAGTTAAGTGGCTTTATGCTGTTAATGCTATAAAACGTAGTAGAAAAAAAAATAGCCCACTATCAGCCCTGATCATTCCCTCCTTGGCAACTTGTCATTCTTCCCTGATGTTTGTAAGTCAGTGAATATCAGTGGCTCTAACGCTGAAGTTAATGTACAGAAAGGTTTAAGCTAGATAGGAACTGTAAATGAGGGGGGTTCCCTGCTCTGAATAGTGTTGAATCAGAATTTTCTTCTTGAGCTTGACAGAATTCTATGTCACTCTACTACTGTATCCCTGTTTGGAAGCAGTCTTTTCTGTTTCTTAGTCATGACATTTGGATTTGGACCTGGGTCCACTTTCTGTCTCATTAGTAAAAACATTTGGAAAAACTATTAAGTTCCTATGTTGTAAACAAATCTTGCATCATTATTATGATGGTTGAATGACATGAATATGAAATGTTTGCTATAATTGTTGGCAGAGAGTAGTTCATGTTATCATCACTATTGCTAGTTATCACCATAATGACCTAATCCAAGTATTTATATCATATTTGTTAGGAATAGTTACTGTGTGATATTAGAAAAAGATTTTAAAAAATCAACAGTTACATTTCATAATTCACTTCTGCTTTAGTAAATGAAATTCTCCTGCTAAGCCCTGGGATTTCCAGGAAAGCACAACAGAAGAATAAAACAGTATTTACTACTTAGTGAGGAGTGAGGAAATATGTAAATACTAATCCAAATACACAACCTAAGTTACAATTCACAGTATCTAACTGTGCATTGCACAGCATGAGGGATGCATAACAATAGATTGTTAATTTTTGCCGCAGTCATTACATAATATATGTATAATAAAATATCTTGAATGTATAATCCTTAATACAAGCTAAGTGTCTTTAAATTTTTTTTTTTTTTTTTTTTTTGGTTTTTCGAGACAGGGTTTCTCTGTGTAGCTTTGCGCCTTTCCTGGTACTCGCTTTGGAGACCAGTCTGGCCTCGAACTCACAGAGATCCGCCTGCCTCTGCCTCCCGAGTGCAAAGCAAGTATATAATTTAATTTTTATGAGAAAACTTGTCAGGGCCTATCCATGAGTAAATCACCTTTTGGCTTCTATGTATTTTGTATAGGTTTATGAATTTGATTATTGATGATATATTTGAGAATTGTAGAGGTATAAAAGAGCAATCCCATTTGCTATCAATCATCTCAGCATTTTTTTTCTCTTGTTTCTCTTAACATCCAGAATAATCGTACAATTTTGGAACAGGAAAGGCTCTTAAATACCATCTAGTCTAATCCTGAGTTTAAATATTACCAGCTATCACCTCTTCATTATTCTCTTTTATGCCCACTCGTTTTGGAATGGATCAGAGTATCCTATGGTGCTCTATAGACTTTTTTTTTAATTTTTTCATTTATTTCACATACCGACCACAGTTTCACTTCTCTCCTCTTGTTCCCTCCCCCAACCTCCCATCTACCCCACCACCACCACTCCTGCTCTTATTCCATTGCTACCAAAGAAGTCTTACAACTGGCTCTGTTGATTCTATTTTAAGGAAATACCAATTAAGACTAAATATGACAAAATTTATCAGAAATGATACTATTATCCTCAGAGCATCTTATTCCACAGAGAATAAACAATGAATGTTTCATACTAAACATGGTCTGCACTTGATACAGAATCAACTAGATACCAATCTCTTAGTTACCCATGTTAGAAAAAGAAAGCATCACTTTATTGTAGGAATAATGTCTTTAATTTCTGAAGACATCAATATCTTGAAGTATTTTTTACCTTTAAGAGATGTATTTCTGAGCCCGGTGGTAGTGGCGTAGTACCTTTAACCCTAACACTTGGGAGGCAGAGGCAGGCAGATCTCTGAGTTTGAGGCCAGTCTGGCCTACAGAGCAAGTTCCAGGACAGCCAGAGCTACACAGAGAAACCCTGTCTTGAAAAACCACACACACCAAAAAAATAAAAATAAAAAGGTAGGGGGGATATATTTCTGGAGCCAGTGACATGGCTCATTCCTGGGATCCATGTGGTAAGAGAGAATTGACACAACCTCGCCTCTGACCTCCACATGCATGATGTTGTACACACGCCCACAGACACATAAAACACACATGCACACACGGTAAATAGAATATAATAAATTTAAATATATATGTATACACATATTTCTGGACTCATGTTTTGAGCAAAAATGATGGGGATACATGAGGAAGTTACAGGTAAGGCTGATCAAAATACTATATACATGTATGAAATACTCAAATTTTTAAAATGTGTTAAATGTATTTCTCATTGAGTCAGTGGTCTCTTTGTTATGGACACTGGTGTCCATTTCCTGGGTTTAATCTGCACTCCCTCAGCCTCCTCAGAGACTGTAGCTACAGGTATGTCACAGGGCCTGGGTTTTTACATGTTGATTATTCTATCTGCCCAAGTATTTTATTAAGAAAAATTGATCGTGAGTAGAGCTCTATGGGTGGGCACGGTCTTGGGTTCAGTCACTAGTATGGAGGGAAGACAGTTTTCTTTGCATTCTTGTTTTCAGAAATTAGGGAAATTCATGATTCTTTAAAAATATGATCTTTCATTGTTTAAAAGGATAAAACTAGGTAAGGGTGAGGCCAAGCTTTCAAAATCCTTAATAAAGTCTAAAGAGTTTACATCTGAGTTTGAAGCTAATTGGGAATGTCTGTGGGTTTTTTAAAAGGCAGTAAGTTATTCAAGTAACATTTTTGGAAGAAGTCTGACAGTCTCTTAAAGGAGCTTAAGAAGAATAATGTCAGATGTAACTTTGTGTCTCAACCTGTTACAGATTTTTAGAAAGATTGATCTTATTTCCTATTCCTCTTTGTTCTCTAGCTGGAGCACAAGAAAGCAAAGAGTCCCTTGAGCATTCTTTAGGCTCTACAGATAAAATTACATCCAGGCATTTGAAACTAAACAGTTATAAAGGAAATAAATGATTTAATTAAATTGACCATGCCAAAACCTAGCCTTGCAGCTCCATTAGCCTCCTCTTCACAAGCTTGTTACTATCACAGACTTTTGGACTTGCCACCTGAAATACATGTGTGGGCCAGTAAGGTTGCTTAGCAGGTAGAGGTACTTGCTGCCAAGTCTGATGACCTGAATTTGATCGTCAGACTCCACATGAAAGGAGACACTGAGCTCCTGCGTTTATTCTTAGTTGCCTGGAGTTTTCTGTGCAGGAGTGAGGCCTCCTGGGCTTTAGCATAACTTCATTCAGATCCTTGTTTGGCTAATGTTTAGGTAGTCATGTTGGTAAGGCTTTGTGGCTGTAGCTTCTGATATTCCTAGGAGACACAGTCTCACTACACACTCTTCATCCTTAGTGATCCCTGTGCCTTCGATGCAGTAATTGTTTATAGATGTAGCCATTGGAACTGGACTCCATAACTACATTTTGATTGGTTGTAGTGTTTTGTAGTGGTCATCATCTGTTGCAAAGAGATCAAGGGTGAGGATTGCACTTTCTTGCGGGTATAAGGACAAATATTTATAATGCAACTAGGGATTATGCTGGTTTAGTAAAGTGATTATAGGTTCTCCCCCAAGGCCCCTGACTTCACTAGTCCTGGGTAGTTGGTTAGGCTTTCAGTACCAGGCATGGTTTCCCTCTTGTTGATCTAGTTATTTCATATTATCTTATCTGTACATAGTCCAAGACCTAGTCAAGCATTTTGTTCAGAGTATATGCCTCAGTTATTTAACCCTGTATTTGAAAATATTCTATTCATTCTAGCTAACACACCAAATGCCACCCTAGCATTTTTTCCATTAGCCTTTTTTTTTCCGTGTGAAAGTGTATCTCAGAATCTCTACATAGTAACTTTTACACCTTCAAATCTTTATTCAACTGGTAGTGTTTCCTAGTTTTGTTGTTGTTAATTAACAAGTACTAGTGAAATATATTTATGGAATTCAATATAACTTTGGCATATATCCTTTGTTGGCTGAGCAAATTGATGATCTAAGTAATAAATTGATCTCACATTTATTTCCTGGTAATGAAAATATTTGGAAGTATTTTCTTAGCATAGACTCCAGTAAAGATTTAGTATGGTAGTTTTCTTTGCCTACTTTCAATAGTACAGGCTGAGACTGTAATTTGAATGGTAGCAGTAAGGACAAAGTAGGCACTGGCCTTGACGAAGCATCAGAGGCAAACATCTTGATCGCACAGGCACCACACACCCAGTCTCATGCAGGTGTGCTCTGCTGCACTGCTAAAGGGTTTGCTAACTGAAGAAAGGGACAACAAAGACTTGGACCTCTTATCAGCAGCTCACTGACTGGAACCCAACAGGTCCAAGTGTCTCACCTCTCTCAAGCTCTCTTTAGGGAATTTTTTGGGGGGGTGGGGGGGGGACATCTAGACAAGTTTTCTCTAGGTAACAGTCCTGGTGTCCTGGAACTCACTGTGTAGACCTGACTAGCCTGGAACTCAGAGGTCCACCAGCCTCTGCCTCCCAAGCGCTGAGATTAAAGGTGTGTGTCACCACCACCCAGTGGGATTTTTTATTTTTAAGCAGTGTCTATGTAGCCCTAGTTGACTGGATCTCACTTTATTCAACAAACTAGCCTCAAACTCACCAAGATCTGCCTGCTTCTGCCCCCAAGTTCTGGTATTAAAAGTGCACCACCATGCCCAGCCTTTTCTTCAGTCTTGAGCCCAGGCTAGCCTAGAACTCAAGCTATCCTTCTTACTCAGCTTTCTAAGTTTTAGAAGTAAGCCAGGGGGTCAAGGGGTTTGTTGTGAGATTGTATGTCTTAATAATGTCAGCTCCACCTGTAAGGTCTCACAATCATGACTGCCTAAACATGAATTGGGCATGAACTGCCTAAACAAGGATACAATGATAGACATGCTAATAAGGGAAAGGCCACAAGACCTCAGTGCTACACGGAGAAATACAAGGAATGCTTCAAGCAGGAGAAATAGTCCCTCCTTAAATGTTGTTTGGGGCAGGGGAGTGTAAAAGTGTGTGTGTGTGTGTGTGTGTGTGTGTGTGTGTGTGTGTGTGTGTATGTACTCAAGCATGTGTGTGCATTTTGCAGAAGTAGAAGTGTCATGGCTTCTCCACTCTATATCGTTTGTGGCTCGTTGAACTTGTCAAACTATTGTTCTTTATCAGTCTCCTTTTGTTCCTGTGAGACTGTCATAAAGTTCAATCACACTTTATGCATTTACTGAGGTTCTTTAAATTTGCATGTCATTAAGAGATCAGAGACTAGGACCTCTGAATACATAAGTAGTGTATACTATTTCTCTCCTCTTCAGACATGGGCTGGCTAGCTAGTGCAACCTAAGAACTAACCCACCCTATCTCTGAGATGCAGGTAGAGACAGCCTGGATGCATCACTTTCCACTACCCAGAGGTCAACAGACAAGATCACTTTTATTAAAAGGAGTTCCCAAGCTAAAATTCCCATTATTACCCTGATATGATTCAGAAAAATCCTTCCCTGCTCTTTTTCACGATCCCACCTAAAAACTGTGCTAGAGCCATTGTGAAAATCAAATCATAAGTGAATCAGCACTAGTATTTGAGTTTAAGCTTATGCTCAAGAGCTTGATTAATATTTCAAGAAATTCGCCGGGCGGTGGTGGCGCACGCCTTTAATCCCAGCACTTGGGAGGCAGAGCCAGGCGGATCTCTGTGAGTTCGAGGTCAGCTTGGACTACCAAGTGAGTTCCAGGAAAGGCGCAAAGCTACACAGAGAAACCCTGTCTCAAAAAACCGAAAAAAAAAAAAAAAAAATATTTCAAGAAATTCTTAATATGCTTTTGTGTACATGTGTGCTGTTTGGGGGGGAAGTTTAAGTTTATAGGACAATATATATACATATATATGTAATATATAATACATTTTGTAGGTAAATGGAACATAAACATTACCTTTTAAATGACTATTACATGCCAGGTTTTTTTTTTTTTTTTTTTTTTTTTTTTTTTTTTTTTTTTTTTTTGGTTTTTCGAGACAGGGTTTCTCTGTGTAGCTTTACGCCTTTTCCTGGAACTCACTTGGTAGTCCAGGCTGGCCTTGAACTCACAGAGATCCGCCTGGCTCTGCCTCCCGAGTGCTGGGATTAAAGGCGTGCGCCACCACCGCCCGGCACATGCCAGTTTTAAGTAAAACTAATAGTGACTTTTTTCTGTTTATTTCAGAGAACTACCCAGGCATCCATGTAAGCAGCAAGCAAGATTCCTGAAAATGTCTGTTTCTGAGGAAGATTTATGTCACCACATGAAAGTAGTTGTTCGTGTGCGACCTGAGAACACAAAAGAAAAGGCGGTCGCTTTCCATAAAGTGGTCCATGTTGTTGATAAACATATACTCGTTTTTGACCCAAAACAAGAGGAAGTCAGTTTTTTTCACAAAAAGAAAACTACAAATTTTGATATTACTAAAAGACCAAATAAAGATCTTAAGTTTGTATTTGATGCTGTTTTTGATGAAACATCAACTCAAACAGAAGTTTTTGAATACACTACCAAGCCAATTCTTCATAGTTTTCTGAATGGATATAATTGCACAGGTAATTGTTTCAGTTTGAAATCCAGTTCTTCTGTCTAGCTTCAGTTTTATTCTTGTAAATACAATCAAGTTCAAGGTACAAGCATTCCAGCAGTTTTAAAGCTTCAGTAGACTGGATTGAAGTGCAGGCTTTCTTTGAAATGTAGTCATCATATGCAGCTTATCTTTTATGAAACTCCCTTCCTTGAGCCTTGCCATTGCCCCTGTAAACAGTCTTTGCAGTTTTATTAAGCCATATGCTTCTTACAATTAATGCCAGATTTCTCACCATTTATACTGACAAGTTATGTCCACTTTTGGCCTCTGCCGGTCATCTGCCCCTCTCAGAGAGCTTGCCAGTGCTTAGCACTTGGAGTTTCTTTACAGCACCATTTCTAAGGGAGCTTAATTTAGAAAGGTTAAAGCTTCATGAGCCTGAGAATCGTGTGCTGTTTTAGCAGCTCTTTGGCCCAAGAAGCATTCCTTGTGCTTTGGGGAGCCTGTACTTAGTCTTTCAGAAAAGACCAGTTAGTTCAGTGTTATAATAATAGCATACTAGTGTCTCATTTTTATAATTGTCAGCTTTTGTGGTGTTTTCTACAACATACTCCGTGCTATAACATGTTTCACTAAGACTGTTTTACTCACTTGTCACAGAAAATTGACCCTCTTCATCTTTGATCAAGAACACAATGATGTTTATTGGTCAGAACTGCTGATTCTAACATATATCCAGATGTTCTGGAGATTCCCCCACTCCTTGTCTTTAAAAAAAAAAAAAGGTCCCTGTCAATACTCTTCCTTCAGTTTCTCTCTGGCTTTATGTTATTTAGCTGCCTTGAGACTTCTTTCGTAAGCTAAAGTAAAACACTGGCTTAATTCATTCCAAAAATTATTGGTAATTAATATATGAGAATTGAATATGGTATTGGATGTTTGCATTTGTAACTCCATGAATTTCTTCTACATTTGAAGAAATGCATGGCTTCTATATAGTACTAGATAGAATTGTGCAAATAAGTAATTTGCCTAAAACAACATTTAAAGAACAGTTTTATAAATCGCCTTTGTGGAATTCATTTAGCTCAACAAGTGTATACCTGCTTTGCTTTATGTTATTTGCTAAAGCACAAGGATACACTATCTGCCTTGGTAGAGGCAGTGTGTTCATGCTGCAAAGGAGGGATGTGGATAGATATCATATTCTGATGGCAAATCAGAGAACAGATGTTTCTGCCTGTGACAGTGTGGGAGGCACAAAATTGCATTAGTGCTAAAGATGATACCTGTTGGATTTAAAGTTACTGTTCAGGATAACTGGTTAGAACTAGCCCCTAGACTATGTTGTAACAATGAGCGTTGATCTCACCCCTTTCATTAAAAACTCAGTACTTGCGTATGGTGCCACTGGAGCTGGGAAGACTCACACAATGCTAGGATCAGCTGCTGAACCTGGAGTAATGTACCTAACAATGTTACACCTTTTCAAATCCATGGATGAGATTAAAGAGGAGAAAGTGTGTAGTACTGCAGTTTCTTATCTGGAGGTAAGTTGCCACTAACCTCAACGTTAATCATTATCTGAGAAAACTCAGTGGTCCATTCAAACTCTTTTATGCAGGAATCCTCTTGTCAATGCTTGCAATCATTAAAATTCCTAGTCATGCACATTTTGATGATCTTACTCTTAATTTAATTTAAATTATAGAGACATATTGTTCGAATTTCTAAAAGTCTTATAATAAAAATCCTGGGATCCTGATACTGGGGTAAAAGCTAAAAGAGATCAAAGAAGCAGAGCCAGCCGCAGCCACCACCTCTTACCTCACCTCCTCAGCCTGAAAGAGCTCCAGCCCAAAGGGCTTCTAGCTGAAAGGGACGTTTCTGCCAAAAAACCTTTAGTTCCTATCTCCTCATACCTTATATACCTTTCTCCGCCCAGCCATATTACTTCCTGGGATTAAAGGCATGTGTGCTTCCCAAGCAAAGGCATGAGATCCCAAGTGCTGCCTCCACTGTCTGGCTTTGTTTCTCTCCAAGACTGAGTCAGTCTCGTGTAGTCTAGGGTGGCTTTGAACTCACGGAGATCCAAACAGATCTCTGCCTGATGAGTGCTAGGATTAAAGGTGTGTGCTGCTACTGTCTGGCCTCTATGTTTAATCTAGTGGCTTTTTTTTCCCGTCCTCTGGTCTTCAGGCATATTTTATTAGGGTACACAATATATCACCACAGAGACATCGCAAAAATAATTTATAGAAAGAACCTCCAGATGACCTTCACTGAGATGCCCTATATGTTAAAATTTTACACCTGCAGTTTACTCTATGTTGTATGTACATTTATTATTTGGGACTGTTTAAGGTATAAATTTGTTGAACTAGGAAAATTTTAAACCATCACTGAATGTTTCTCAAAATCGAGAAGTTAACAGTGATTATCACTGTCTATTCTATGAACCTTAATGCAATTTTGCCAATTATATTATTAATGCCTTTTCCTGAAAGCCTTCCAGATCATATATTACATTTGCTTTGGTCTCTTTTAATGAGCAGTTTCTGTGTTTTCTTTGTATTTTCTGACACTGCCGTAAATCCCTCAGTTTGTATTTGTTTCTATTAGAGTTGCTTTATATGCTGGCAGACACACCACAGAAATGGTATTGAGTGCTTCCTACTTCATATCAACTCACTTAGGTAGTTGATTGGTCCCAGTATTGGCAATGTTAACTTTTATAAATTTCATTATGCTGGAATTTGCAGGGTTTGTTGATTATTCATATTTGAATAAATTATAGATGATGGTGATCTTTAGACACCAACTTTTTTGTGTTTATTCCTTAGCATTTACTGTAAGGAAAGCTTTTCCCTTTGTTACAATCACAGACTCATGGATTATTTAATAGTCAGTAGATTATAGACACTTTCTGTGATTTAGGGGATGGGAACTTTTTCTAAATTAATTTTTTTGTGTGTGTGAGTGCAGGCATGGATGTGGAGATCTGAAGACATCTTTTAGGAGTTGGTTCTATCTTAACACCTTGTTAAAGCAGGATCTCTCTTATGTCAGGCTATCAGGCTTTTGGCCTTCCAGGCCCTGCTTCCTGTCTCCCCTTAGGAGTGCTGGCATTATACATGCACACCAATGCATCTGTTGCTTTTTTTAATTAGGATTTCATACAGTATTTTTATATTTCATATCCCACAACTCCTCCCAGATTCTCCCCTCTCCCTATCCACGCAACTTCATGTTCTTTTTCTTTTAAAAAAAGACAATGCCACTAAAAACACGGAGTACATGACTCCTCTAGTGTGTAGTTGGTATACCCAGTGTCACTCCATAAAAGAAAACTGATTTTCCCTTTCCCAGCAGCTATCATTTGTGAATAGCTTCTTGTATAAGGATGGGCCCTTTTGCCCACTTACTCAGCTAAATGCTGAGAGTTTTATCTGCCTTGAGCTTGTACAGGTCTTGTGAATACTGTCACAGTCTCTGAATTCATATGTACATCTGTCCTGTTGTGTCTACAAGATGCTATTTCCTTAATTGTCCACCCTCTCTTCTCTGAGCCTTGGAAAGAGTGTGAGGTAAAGAGCAGAGCAGGATCCAACTTTGGTCATCAAGTTTTCTTGGTGTGTGCTTTGACCCATCTTAAACACATTTTAGGATAGATTTCATGTAACCTGGCCGTGAACTCATGATCCTCTGCCTCAGCCTTCTTTAGGTTGAGATTATGGAAGTATGTCAGCACATTCACATTTGTGATTCCTGTTTGTGTGCTCAAATTGTAAAAACCTGGTCAGCCGAAGTTCCTTTCAGCTGCCACTACCCTTTTGTTATACTTCATCATTCTTTGAGGACTCATAAAAGTAGCTGATATTTGACAAATGACAACTAAGGTGCAGAAAGGAATTGTTTACTCAGATAGTATTTTAGAAACCCCTGATTTCACTGGAAGTGTTAATTAAGCATTTATTTTCTAGTGTCAGAATATTTCTCTTATTGGATCTTGATCATTAAGGCTATGTACCAAGATTTTTTCTGTTACATTCTAGAAATACGTCTGGCTACACTTCACTCCTTGGTTATAGCCAAGGAATTTATGCTTGTTAAAATCACCAGGTAAGGGCTAGAGAGTTGGCTCAGTGGTTAAGAGCACTTATTCTTGCAAAGGAACTGGTTTTTGTTCCAGTGGCGCATAGACATACATGCAGGCAAAACACTTATACACACAAAATAATACAGTAACTAAATCTTTAAAAAAGAAATTCTCCAGGTAACTGGCTTTCATAGTTCACCTTCAGTATTCATTCTTCGTGGTTGGTTGAAGCAGGTAAGAAAGGAGAAGCAGTCAAGAGTAACTGCTGTATATTAGAAATAGAAGATCTAAAAGAAAAGTGTCTACTCACCTAAGGTTATTACATTTTTAGAATGATTTTATTATTGAATGTAGAGACATACCAGAAAAAGAAAAATTACTGTGGACTACTAGAACATGAAAGGAAATGATGGTATATATTCACACCTACTATGCCATTTTGTAAGGGTCTGGGTGTGCATTTTTTTTTCAATGCTTAGAATCTACCTAGAATGTCGTGCTTCTTAATAATGCAGAATGCTCTACCAAGAGCCCTATCACCAGCCCAGAAAAATGTTTTTTAAAGGCCTGATTTTCTGAATTTTTCTTAATATTTTTTCAGAAGTCTTGTTTATCAATCTGTTAGCAGATGCTAAATTTTGTGCCTTTACTAGATCCATAAAATAAAGTGAATCATACTATGTCTAATCATTGTTTGTATAAGTCTCTTTTACATGATACTGCAGATAGAAAATTAAGATGTGTGTTCAATGTAGACCGTAAAGAATAGCCGAGCTTCAATCCTTATTCTGCTGTTAATTTTATAACTATGAGCAAAATCACTCAGGGTCTTAGTAGCTCTAGAATCAGATGAGAAAGACTATTACTAATGGTGTGTTAGACTGAAATTGAAGGAGTAAATGACATAAATATGTAGCACAGATTCTAATTGATCTTAGTAATAGAAACCTGGAGTCTGATATCAGGGTAAATGCTAAAAGATCAGAGAAGTAAAGGAACCAGGCACAGTCAGCTCTAGCTGAGCTCCTGTCTACTCCTGCTTTAAATTCCTCTCTCTGCCCCATCCATATCACTTCCTGTCTTTATCTCTCTAGTGCTGGGATTAAAGGCATGTACCTCCCAAGTTCTAGGATCAAAGCCATGAGATCCCAAATGCTGGGATTAAAGGTGTGAGCCTCTACGCCTAGCTCTGTTTCTCTTTTAAACTGGACCAGTCTCCTGTAGCACAGGGTGGTCTTGAACTCCTGAACTTCCTGCTTCTTCCCAAATGCTGAGATTAAAGGTATGTGCCATCACTGCCTGGCCTCTGTGATTAACAAGTGGCTAGGTCCACCCTCTGATCTTCAGGCAAGCTTTATTTGTTAGAGCACAAGCAAAAGATCACCACATAAATGTACCTGTTTCTGACTGGGTTTTTGTTTAACATTTAATCTCTGAAATTGGTGTATTTTGCAGAGATAAGAAAGCTGGCTTGCCTTTATTTTGTCAGAGTTGTCAAATCAGGAACTAGTGGGTGAGAATATAATAACTCCATCTTTAATATTCAGTTGTAAACTGACATGATCAAAATCTGGGGTTGTAGACCTTCAGTTGGCTATGTGCATGTGAGATAATTAGTTACTTAGACATCACTGTTACTGTGGTTCTTTTTATTGTAAGGTATATAATGAACAAATTCGTGACCTCTTGACAAATTCGGGGCCACTTGCTGTCCGGGAAGATGCCCAAAAAGGAGTGGTTGTTCAGGGTCTCACTTTACATCAGGTATGTTCATGAATGTTTTATCTATCTGTTAGAATAGCAAATCTGCAGATTCTACCACCTATTAGTTCAACTCCACTGTGTTTGAAAAACAAACAAGCTAATGAAATATAAGACTGAAGTGAATTACAAAGTATCCAAGGCCCTGAGTCCAAGGTCACAAAGTTGCTAGCAGAATAGAGACCAGAACTGAGGATGGCCTCATTCTGCCTTTTATTGAATATTCTTGTTTCATCTTCTTATGAAATAATTGAGGGATATTTTTCCTGCTAAAATTCTTACTGAAAATTTATTATTCTGTTAAATACATTTATATTTTTAACTCAGAAACTAGACTTTAACCTCTTACTCCGTATGTAGCACTAAGTATTAAACAAATGATACATAGTCCATATTTATTAAGGATAAATTCATAGAAAACATTTTCTTTTACCTTTCAGACCATTGTTTGTTGAGTAAGTTTACTGAGGGTCTGGGATCTAGCTCATTGGTTGAACACTTTCCTTATGTTCATCCTTGGGTTTGTGACCCTGGCACTTAAATAAATAAAAGTTAGTTAGAATATATAGAGATAGACTACTAAATAGTTCTTTTCTTTTTGAACTCCTAGCCCAAATCCTCGGAGGAAATATTACAGCTACTAGACAATGGAAACAAAAACAGGACTCAGCATCCCACTGACATAAATGCTGCATCTTCTCGTTCTCATGCTGTCTTCCAGGTATCAGGCCTTTAGGCTATTACTCTTAGTTGAAATTTAAAATAAAGCCAAGTTCATGAATAATTTTCATATGTGGCAACAAATCTCATCTAAAGACATCTCTGTTCCTCGGCACTTCTTTGATTTGCAACTTTTGTTAGCTATTTGACTTTATTTTAAGATATAATCTCATTAAGTTAACCAGGTTGGCTTTTAAGTCACTAAGTAGCAGTGGCCAGCCCTTACTTCAGTTCCTTTTACCCCAACCTCCTGAGTAGCTAGGGTTACAGGCACTGTAAAACCTTACCCACTAAAACCAAGGTCATTGGCATGAAAAGTATATTCCATATAGTACTAAGATCCCTCCTCAGTCCACTTTGCTCTTGAAAGTACTTCAACATCAAAAATGTTTAGAATTGAGATGACATTCATCAAACACATGGGGTTCTACATGGGGTTTTGTGATCTGCAGAATTTCTTGAAAGTAGAGAATATATTAAATAGGGAGTGGTAAAGTGGAAATGGGAGATGCCATGTAATCAACTGCATTCCTTAAGAATGATTCAGCTGACAGTACTGTACAGGAGAAAGTGTCCACAAAGATCCAAAGCCATAGATAATAGTATCCATTATTGTTTGTAGTTTCTAGTTCTGTTTATATCCAAATTGTTATTTATGTAAAGTTTTACTATAGATTATGCTGTGTGAAATGCATTTTTTTCAACTTTTAAAAAAAGTGTTATATTTATTTGTGTGTCTTATGTATATATGTAGTGTGTCATGGTGTATGTGTGGATGGCAAAGTACTTTGGGGAATTGATACTGTCCTTCCCCCATAGTTGGGTCTGGGAACTCTAACGTAGTCATCACGCTTGGCAACAAGCACCTTTTACCATCTTACTGGCCTGTGAAATTCATCTTATCAAGAACTAATTGTTACAGTTGAAAGTGTTCATATTTAAGGCAGTCAAGCCATTCAGATAGTGTCCATTCAGTAGTTTCATTGATCTTTTCTCTTCCACTGACATTTTCTTTACCAGTAGTTGCTGTGGGATGTTCTGTATGGCAAATGTGTTGCTGATTAGTCATTAAATAAAACACTGATTGGCCATTGGCTAGTCAGGAAGTGTAGGCGGGGCAAAGAGGAGAATAAAGCTGGGAAGTGGAAGGCTGAGTCAGAGAGACACTGCCAGCCGCCAAGATGACAAACAGCATGTGAAGATGCCGGTAAGCCACGAGCCATGTGGCAAGGTATAGATTAATGGAGATGGATTAATTTAAGCTGTAAGAACAGTTAGCAAGAAGCCTGCCACGGCCATACAGTTTGTAACCAATATAAGTCTCTGTGTTTACTTGGTCGGGTCTGAGCGACTGTGGGACTGGCAGGTGATAGAGATTTGTCCTGACTGTGGGCCAGGCAGGAAAACTCTAGCTACAAATGGCGCCCAACGTGGGGCAAGAGTTTCCACCTAAAACCTGAGAAAAAAGATTCTAAAACGGAGCTAAAAACAGTTCCTAATTGTCTCTCTCAAATGAGCGGCAGCTGCTGGTTTGAGCTACTGGTGGGTTCCTAGCTGTGTGCTCGACCTGCAGTATGGTGGGAATGAGGCCTCTGCAAGTGGCACATTAAGCTGCACAGTGGATTTAGACTTTGCTAGTACAAAACAAAATAAAAGAGGTTTCTGGACTACACGCTGTTTGGATAAAAGCATAGACCCACATAGCTCCCAGAGCTGGTGGTAAACGTAGCCATGTTGGGAAGCTGAGGTGGGCGGAGCCAGCAGCCACAGCTGCTGCAGTTTAAAGCAAGAGATTCACAATAAGACAGATTCAGATGTAATAGTTTGCAGTGTGTGTAAAAGATACGTAGGCTTGAAAGAGACAAAAAAGATGATATATAGAGTTATAGAAACAAATACATAGTTTTAAAAAATAAAGTCTTTAAAGAGACAGTAAAGGTAGTATAAAATATAAGCCATGTAAAAATGGATATTACACAGAGAATCTGCATTGTGTTGTCTTTGGGACTTGTAACTGCAGAAAAACATTTGATTGTAAAAGCTGTTGAGTTATGCCAAAATGTATATTTTAAAGGTACCTTGACTTCAAAATTTGAATATAAGGATATGTTACTTTGGAAAGGAGACTCTGCTTTTGTTCCCACAGAAAGCAAGAGGCTATGGATTTGTTCAAGATTAAGATACATCAGGTTTGACCAGCCAAGACCCCCTGAAAGGTCTCCGATGACACCATGGCCCAGATGACACCATGGCCCAGATGATCCAACATCCAGAATGATTTGAAAGCAACTGGCTCAGATGATACACCCTCATGGACTATTCTATAATTCTAAAATTTCCTTTGTATCCCCATAAGATACAGCGCCCCCCTCCAGCAGGAAGTAGTAAGAGAAGCTACGCCCAAATTCCCAAATTATATGTAATTTTACTTTGTTAAGGTTAAAACCTTCCTTTTTGAAAAAAAAAAAAAAGGGGGAAGTGCTGTGGGATGTTCTGTATGGCAAATGTGTTGCTGATTAGTCATTAAATAAAACACTGATTGGCCATTGGCTAGTCAGGAAGTGTAGGCGGGGCAAAGAGGAGAATAAAGCTGGGAAGTGGAAGGCTGAGTCAGAGAGACACTGCCAGCCGCCAAGATGACAAACAGCATGTGAAGATGCCGGTAAGCCACGAGCCATGTGGCAAGGTATAGATTAATGGAGATGGATTAATTTAAGCTGTAAGAACAGTTAGCAAGAAGCCTGCCACGGCCATACAGTTTGTAACCAATATAAGTCTCTGTGTTTACTTGGTCGGGTCTGAGCGACTGTGGGACTGGCAGGTGATAGAGATTTGTCCTGACTGTGGGCCAGGCAGGAAAACTCTAGCTACAAGTAGTCTTCAGAGAAGTGTTTATGACAATGAAATTTCTCTAGAATGTATTAGATCTTTCCTATGTCTTCATCTCTCTTCCACCTATCTTATTTCAGTTGAAGTGTACAAAGCAACTGAAGATGGTTATATAAGGGTGCATACCTACTATACATTAAGGCCCAATTTTAATCTCCATCACCTTTTAAACTGGGCACAGTGGCTCAAACCTATAATTCTGGTGATTCAGAGATACAGAGGAGAGATTCTGAAGTTTAAGATCTTTCTTTACTAGCTTGTAGCCACATGATCACCAGTCTCAAAAGCAAAAAAAAAGATCAATAAATTATACCTTCCTGAGCAGCTGAAATGCTTGAGATGATCAAATTATAAAGAACAGTTTATTTTCACTCATAGGCCTGGAAGTTTCAGTCTGATGTCAGCTGGTCTTATTACTTTGGGACCTGTGGTAAAGCAGCACATCATTGAACAGGATGTTACTTACCTTATAACCAGGTTGTGAAAATCAGTAGGACTAGAGAAGAGCTAGTATCCTATTCTTTACTTGAAGGAAATGCCACCCTTAATCCAAAAACCTACCACTTGCTGCCCTCTTTGTTGTTTGTGAAGTATAAGGGACAATATCATATAACCAAGTTGTTCTCAAACTCTTGGACTCAACTGATCCATCTACCATAGCCACACACACACACAAACACACACACACCCTTCCCCACAAGTAGCCTGTACTACATATAGACCTATTAGGTTTTCATCTAGTAGCATCAAGGTGGACAAGACAGTTAACACATGGGCCTTTGGAGCAACCTTTAATATCAAAATTCATATATATATAAGTCTTCATTTTCATATTTTTCTCAATTCAGTAATTCTGGTACTGATAAGTATCAGACAGATAATATGTTGTTATGCTGGTTTTTAAAAGGAAAATGACTTTGTCTTCATGTATATGTATTTTTGAAAATAAAACATTTCCTTTAATTTTATTAAATTTTACCCTATTCTGTAATTTAAGATTTATTTGCGACAACAGGACAAAACAGCAAGCATCAATCAAAATGTCCATGTAGCCAAAATGTCACTCATTGACCTGGCAGGATCTGAGCGGGCCAGCACTTCTGGTGCTAAAGGAACACGATTTGTAGAAGGCACCAATATTAATAAATCCCTCTTAGCCCTTGGGAACGTCATCAATGCCTTGGCAGATACAAAGGTTGGTACTTTTTGTTTACTTGCTAAATGTTTTTAAATAGTTTCTAGAACATATTTTAGATATAGATCATAGGCATAAGTGACTCTGAGGTATCAAACAGTGCTGCATAAGATTCATTTTATGTTTGTTATTTTGTGAGAGGGTGTGGGGGGGTACACATTTTTGTGGTACTTGAACCCATATACCCAATAGAACCCAATACCTCACATGTGCTAGGAAAGTACAAGTACCTCTGGTTGTACCAAGATCTCAAATGAGTTGATTAATCTGGTCTTGGACTTGTAACCTCTTGTCTCAGCCTCCATTAGCTGTAATTATAGGCCTATTCCACCAGACTCAGCTATGGTTCCTTTTTTCAGTCACCCAACTTTGAACTTCATTGTAAGCAAATATTCGATGATCACTAGACAGCAAGAATGATAATTGAATTGATATGAAGATATTTAAAAAAAAAAAAAACTTTGGAGCGACTCTGTCTAGTTAGTATTTTATAATATACTGTGAAATTGAAGTAATCCAAAAGAATAAAGGAAGAGACTTAAGGTCTAAAGTATAATTATGTAATAGGATGGTTACTAAATGCTTTCAGGCATTTAAAACCGTTTTGCATGCTTTGTGTACCAGAAGTAGTTAACTAGTAGATAGTATATTTGATAGTACAGTATGTTGTTTTTGAAATGTGGTAATTGAAGCTAAAGTCTTAAAAACCTTAGGAAAATTACTGTTAAGTTGTTGAAGGTGTTATTATTTTAATTTAGAATAATGTATTTTAAAATTATTAGGAAGATTTTCTTAAGAGAAAAAGTTACTAAAATAACCTGACCTTTGAAAAAGCAGCATGTTATAATACTGACTTGTAAAGTTAAGCCATCAAAGTAGAGGATGTTTGCCATAATTTCCACTTCTCTTAGATGAAAGTTATATAATGATAGCATTGATTCACACTCTTCCCCCACCCACGGGATTTCTCCATCTAGTTTTGGTGCCTGTCCTGGATCTCAGTCTGTAGACCAGGCTGGCCTCGAACTCACAGAGATTCGCCTGGCTCTGCCTCCTGAGTGCCGGGATTAAAGACATGTGCCACTGCCGCCCAACGATAGCATTGATTTTTAACATTAATGAATCTTTATATAAAATTAGTGCTTTTTGCAAAGTTTCATGTTAATTTTTTTTTCTTTTTTTTTTTTTTTTTTTCTGGTTTTTCGAGACAGGGTTTCTCTGTGTAGCTTTGCGCCTTTCCTGGGACTCACTTGGTAGCCCAGGCTGGCCTCGAACTCAACAGAGATCCATCCGCCTGCCTCTGCCTCCCGAGTGCTGGGATTAAAGGGCGTGCGCCACCGCCCGGCTCATGTTAAATTTTTAATGTAGCTTTTTAATGAGATATTAAATATTTTAATTAAATATTTAATTTAATGAAATATTTTATTACATTTATTTCTTTGTGTGTGTATGTGTATTATCTGTGTGAGTACACCCTTTCATGCATGTGTGGAGGTCAGAGGTTTGATTATTATCTATTTATTTTGTGGTTAAATCTCTTTTATAGATTAGTAGAACTGCTTTCATAAAGGATTCCTTTTTCGAAATAGATTTAGATTCATAGAAGAGTTCATAAGATGATGCACATTGCTTAGTCCTCCCTCAACTTGATATGCATGCTTTGTTGATACTAGTGGGAGGACTGCCCCTTTCTGAACACAAACAGAGGAAGAGTGGATTGAGGGAGGGGAGGAGCGGAGTTGGAGGGAGTGGGAGGAGAGGAGAGAGGGGAGACTGAGGTTGGGATGTAAAATAGATCAATGAATTTAATTAATTGAAAGCAAAAAAAAAGAACAGAAATTAACAGTTGTGATCTGACCTAGCAACTCAGAGCCTAAGAAACCATACTATGACTATGTATGCAAAATATGTGAAAGCAAGCAGTCCCTAGTGTAATGAATAAACAATGCTAACATGATACCCTATCACTTTTAGAAAGATTGATTGATTGATCTAAGATCATTGGTGGGGACAATCACTTAGAGATTTTTGAAGGATGAATACAGCCTTATATGTCACACTTTTTGTTATCAACACCTTCATAAGTGGCCAATAAACAAGAAACAATGCTTATTTTAAAGAAAGAAAAAGATGATGCACATCTTAAATATGTATCTCATGCATAGTTTCCCTGTTAACCTTGGGTTTTTTGGATTTGGGGTGATTTTTGTTGGGTTTTTGTTGTTGTTGTTTGTTTGTTTGGGTTTTTTTTTTTATTTTGTTTGGGGTAATATAATCTTGCTTTGCCATTCAAGCTACCTACCAAGAAGGTGGGTTTACATGCACATGTCACTTGTTGCCACACCAAACTTATGTCATCTTTTCAAATGTAAAGTGTCACCTACAACTAAAAAAACCAATCTTGATATTTGTTTTGTTGTGGGATTTTGTACTTAAAGATGTCAATTTCAGATGGAATTGTAAAATTTTTATTTACTTATTGTGTGTATATAAATGTTCATGGTGTTGAGGTCAAAGGACAACTTCCCAGAGTCAGTTCTCCCTTTTGTCATGTGAGTTCCAGGGATTGCTCTGAGGATTTGAGGCAGGGCGGCCACCTTTCTTTACCCACTGAGCCTCCTGTCAGCCTGAGATAGGACTTTCATAATAGTCACTGAGTAGTCAAGATTCATTTGCATCAGTCCAACACCATTTATATCGTTGGGCATTGCTTAAATTCTTGTAGTGAAATAGTAGTCAGTTTTCATTTATATGTGGAAAATGGAATAAGAATTCTTGTTTTGTTCTTTCAGAGAAGGAATCAGCATATTCCTTACAGAAATAGTAAGCTTACTCGCTTGTTGAAGGATTCTCTGGGAGGAAACTGCCAAACTATAATGATTGCTGCTGTTAGTCCTTCCTCTTTATTCTACGACGACACATATAACACTCTTAAGTATGCTAATCGCGCAAAAGACATTAAATCATCTGTAAGTGCATTTACTTTGACTTTGTTGTGAGAATATTGGGTATTTGTTATTTTTATAACTCTAATTAAAGTCTTAATTAGGGTCATGTTTCTGTTAATGAATTTGGCAATATGAGTTAACAAATGTCCTACCTGGCTACTGAACTTTAGCTTAGTCACATTTTTGCATCTTGATTACTTCTGCAGTGGATATTGTTATTCATTCTTATGGGTGCTAGAGTACTTCGTTGGTGCCTTTTCCTTCTCTTCACATCATGGCATGTGGTGTTTGGATGTCATTATGGAATCATTAGCCAAAGATTTGATATATTTACGTTTTTTTATTTAATGTAATAAATACTTATAGGTGATAATTGCAGTTTATCTGAGCACCAACTAATAATACCAACCTTGGTTTATAACATTCTTTACAAATGAATTTTCAATATTGTGCTAAATCAAGGGGTATAACAGTGACTAGTTAGGGAAATGTTCTTTGCCTAAATTTTGGGATACTTTAAAAACATGCAGGTTAAAACATACCTACTTTAAAACTGCAGGACCTTGGGTTAGGAAAGACCTCCGTTGATATGATGTCCCCTTGACGACTCCCTTTCCTCCTTTACGTGTCTGAAGATAAGCAGTGTGACACCCTATGAGAAATGTCCAGATGCTATTTATGTGAAAGGCCAAACTATATGAGTGTACAAAGATTTTCACACATTTTTCAGGTTCTTTCTCCAACCCATTGTGGAGGTTTCTAGTTTTGTTTTTTATGCTCAATTTTACAACTGTATAGGCCAAAGCTTGAAGAGCTTTAGGTATTTGATTCTAACTCACTTAAACAAGAAATTTCCAGAATATTAAAAACTACCTATGTTTGATTTTCTTCTCACTGTTCTATAAATGTCAATGGTGTCATACTGTTGTAGAAAATATGAAAAATAATAAAAAAAACTAATGTGAATTCAAGCATGAAACAGAATTCTGAATTTTTTTAAAAGAACAAAGAAAATAGGCAATTTTTTATTATATTGTGCATAAATACTTAAGGTTTTTTTTTTTCCGTAAGCCAATTTGTTTATAATTTCATATACATACTCTTGTCATGGATTTTAAATATGGTCATAATTAATCATGATGCTCACATAGTTGTAGTTGTCAAAAAGTCAAAATTGGTGAAACCATATTAATGAGATACAATACCATTTCATGCTGTATTTAACTGTGTGATTATAATCATAGTTTCTATCTTTTGGCAGTTGAAGAGCAATGTTGTTAACGTCAGCAGTCACATATCTCAATACGTAAAGATCTGTAATGTGCAGAAAGCAGAGGTATGCCTACTGTTCTCAGTGATCCGATAGTTTCCTGCAGTTCTTCCCTTAAGGGATGCTTTATTCCTTGTTGTCTCAAATTTAATGCATTTCCTATTATAGTGGAAATCTGGTTTATTTGATTACTATTCATAACTGAACTTTTGCTGTGGCCATGTAAGATGGAGACAAATAATTTGATTTGTATTTTAATTAGTGTTTTCTCTGCTAGATTTTAATGCTGAAAGAAAAACTAAAAGCCTATGAAGAACAGAAAGCCTTGACTGACAAAAATGACTGTGAAAAATTGATACATTCAAATACTCAAGACAAAGAAATTGAAAGGTAAAACTATTAAGCTCTCTCGAGAAATATGTAGTTATGTCTTTATTAATCATCACTTTTTGTTATGTACCGTATATGTATACCTCCATATACACAGTCAGTTGAGTTCAGGAAATTCATTTGTTTGTTCTTTGTATTGGATACTTTGGAAAGCAGTTCTTTTGCTTTTACAGATAGTTAGGAAAACCAGAAGAAAAAGCTAGTTTTGTCCTGCGTGAAGTTTATTTTGAACGGTGCTTTTTTGCCATTAGTACTTGTATAGTTTTATGAAAATATGATCTGTTAATATTGATTCTATATAGATGTACTAATTCACTTACCAGTTTTAAATTATTATCTGAGTGAGCTCCTCAGTGATGTAGAAGACCCACTATCTTTCTTTCACCCCTGAAGATTTGTCTTTCTTGGTCTGTTTTCTCTATGAGTCAACTTGTATACTTGTCCTAATTGATAGAGGAGAAAAGTCCTTTTGAATACTATATTATTGACTGCTGTCATTTTGTTTTCCTCCGTAAACTTCATGTATAGCTTTGTAGATTATGTTGAATTTTAGAGTATTAATTTCACCTGATCACTGTAACACTTTTTACAGTAGAATTAAAAGAGGTATTGTTTCTTCAGTTACAGAGTGTAGTAGGAACTCCGAAATTTAAATTATATTGAAATTGTGTGCGTGTGTGTGTGTGTGTGTGTGTGTGTGTGTGTGTGTGTCTGTGTGTCTGTGTGTCTGTGTGTGTGTGTCTGTGTGTCTGTGTACAGGTGCAGATAGGTGTAAGTCAGTAAGCCGGGAGACAATTTTCAGGACTCACCTAATTTTTGCCTTCCACTGTGAATTTCAGAGATTGAACTGAGGTCATTAGGTTTGTCCAAAAAGCACTTTTACCCACTGGATCATCTCAGTGGCCCAGAAGTATGAGGCTTTGTCTAGTATTCTCACGATATGCCATCTTGCCACCATCACATATAATTCTGATAGTTATTTATTTCTGTTGGTGACAAAGGTCAGTTTTGCACATCTCGTTAGGTTTCCCTGTGTGCTGTTAAAGTGCAAGAGCACTGAGCATACTTGTTTTTCCCTTACGTTGAAATTGTTTTATCTCCGGAGTATCCCATTACAATATTAAATTGTTGTTATTTTATTTGGAATATAAATGTTTAATTCCATGCAAATTGTCTCATCTTAAAAAGTATGTGTTTCCTTGTTCCTCGTTTGTTTTTTTATTTATTGAGGCAGGGTTTTTCTGTATAGTCCTGGCTATCCTAGAACTTGCTCTGTAGACTAGGCTGACCTTGAACTCAGAGATCCTGCCTCTGCCTCCTGAATTGGGATTAAAGGTGTAGGCTACCACCTTCAAGCCCTTATTTATTCCTATCAAAGAAAACTTCTACTCTGATGTAATGTTGTAGTTAATATTTAATTTTGTTAGTTAAACATGACAGTAGTACTAATGCAATGCAAGTTTCTTGGAAATTAAACTACCAGTTTTCCAAAGCTGGAGTGATTACTTTTATAAATTTGTCAACATCAACCATGTGTAATTTGTCAATTAAATTGTACTTCCAGCTACTTCAGATTCTGAGGCAGAAGGATTACAGTTTCAAGCCAAGATTGGGAAACTTAGGGTGATTGTATCCCAAAATTGAAAGCATAGACACAGTTATGGTGCTATAGCTCATGTGGGAGTGCTCGTCTAGCATGTGTGAGCCCTAGGTTCAGTCCTGGGTGCCACAGTTCTGGTGGGGGAGGAGGTGGACTTACAAATTAGGAAACTTTTTTGCAGTTGATGACTTTAAATCATTCAACCCTCTCTCTGTAACATTTTAATTGTGTGTGTGTTGGGGCGGGATATATATACATGTCTGTGCACATGATACAGTTGTCCAGGGAAGTCAGAGGCAGTGGATCCCTCTGGAGCACAGGCAGTTCTTATCCATACAAAATTTTGCTTTCGATAACATTTTTGTGCATTTCCTGGAGACAATGTGAAAATATGCAGTATTTTCTGACTCCAAAATTTTTGTAAAGCCAGTATACAAAAGGGAATGATAAAAAGAAAATACAACTCTTCTTTGTAAACAGCAATTGTAAAAATTCTACTGTGACTATACCAAGGAAGTGGTATGGTCTAATTCCTTACGTCTCACCTAAAAATATTAGTGCAAAATTTTGTTTTCTAGTTAATTTAGATGTTATAAATGACTAAAAAATACTACTCTTCTCTTAGGATTTATTTCTGTTTTATTTCAGTTTTTTTTAAGATGCTACCTAGAAACCCTTGATAGTGATTATTTTCTTTCCTTAATAAACAGTGAACACCAAGTAAAGTGTTTAGACCACAAAATTACAAATTTAACAGCATTCAACTCTGTCCTTGAATCAAAAAGTTATACAAAATAAGCTATTATCTTGGGGTATAACCTAAAGATAACTTACCAGTTCCTTTACTGGCACTAGCAATGATGTAATACAGTACAGTGAAATCACAGTGTCTGCACGTGCTTCCTATGAAATACTCATCAGGTTAGTAAAACTGCAGGAAAGTCAGTGGACTGTGGTTTATCGTCATTCCCAGGAGAGTTTCATTAAGAACTACTGACGTACATTGGTAGTACCTTTACCACAGATCCTTACAAATATATCCAAAACTGCCCAAAGAACATTTATTTTTAAATGCACAGGCTTGATTTTATTTTAAAGGCTTTGTAGTTAATTTTCTTAGATAATTTTGCCTGTGTGAGATCGTTCATAAGAGTAAAATATTGTGACCAGTGTTCTGTTTGTCCTAGAAGTTGCCAAACTGTGTGTTTCCTCAATTTTTCATAGGAATTATTCAGTTTCAAGTCGTTGGTTCCTTGGGGTCTAATAAACTCCACAAATTTGATTCTTTATTTTGCCCTTTGGAGAAGGAAACCACAACCACGTTTCCAGGTTTGCCACATTGTTAACTTGGATGTTTTGGGTCTTGCCAGTGTCAGCTGACTGTTTGCCAAGCTGTAGGGGGTACCTAACCTTATGGTGTGTTTTCACTATAATAATCTTTGAGGCTAAAACTGGTTCTCTCATTTTCCCTAGGGGGCCGTGGAGATACCATATGATAATGCCTCCTATTGCTTTTTCTTCACAGTAAGCCAACACCAAACAGCACATGATGCTCTGTTGCTAACAGGGCTGTGAGAATTGTCATAGTACAGATCCAGATAAAATGCAGCATATTACTAATATCAGGGGCCTTGTGACACCTAAATATTTAAATAACATGATTATCTTTGCAGCAAGAAGAAACCTACAGTCGTAGAAATAAAGTTGATACTCCCTTTAAACATTTTTGTGCTAGGAGAAAGTTGTTCTGACCTACCTACTATTTATCATTGTGTATACTTTGAGTGATACCATGTTATTTAAGAAAGCTATATATTAGATAATAGAAACTTAATGACATATAATGTTGTGTTTTATTTTGGTAGATTTCAAGAAATTCTGAAATGCTTGTTCCAGAATCGAGAAGGAATCAGGCAAGAATATCTGAAGTTAGAAATGTTGCTTAAAGAAAATGAACTAAAGTCATTCTATCAACAGCAGTGCCATAAGCAAATAGAGAGGATGTGTTCCGAAGACAAAGTAGAAAAGGTACTTAACTAATTTATGCCTAAACTACAGAGAACATGGAAATCTAATTCTAGAAATTTTATAAGCACTGTGTCTTACTCATCCATTCTCCGAAACACTTGGAAATACTGTGGGAACCAGAGGAAACTTTAAAAAGCAAACTTTATTTGCACTTGTTCCTCTTTTGAGAGCCTGTGAGTCCTTAGGGACAGGAGAGGCAGCCTGTGCAGATTCAGGCAACACTTTACAACTTAGGCCAAGAGATTTTTTTTTTTTTAATTCAGAATCTTGCTAGGAATTCCTGCATGATCCTAATAAAGACCTAACCAGCTTTCAGTATTTTGTACTGTTGTTTCTAAATACAGTGATGAGCTACTCTCCTCCAGCTACACAGACTGCTCTCACTGCCCTACCTTTGATTTGAACCACTAACAATGCAATGGCTTTAAAAAAAGGAACTTTCAGCCGGGCAGTGGTGGCGCACGCCTTTAATCCCAGCACTCGGGAGGCAGAGCCAGGCGGATCTCTGTGAGTTCGAGGCCAGCCTGGGCAACCAAGTGAGTTCCAGGAAAAGGCGCAAAGCTACACAGAGAAACCCTGTCTCGAAAAACGAAAAAAAAAAAAAAAAGGAACTTTCAAATACAACTAGAAAGTGCAGAGATCTACACCCTTCGTAAAGTGGGAGAAAAAGATATGTCGGGGAAAAGGGTAAGGGGAAAGAAAAAGTGTCTTATTTGAAGATTTATTAATGGTATGCATTCGAAAATGGTCATGGTCTAAGCTTTAAACACTCTATCTTTTACTTAGAAAGTATGTAAAGTTGACAAACAAAATGACATCAAACCAGTGCTACCTCTGGGAAACCTTGCAAAAGCAATGCAAAACCACTGAGAAATAAACCTTCAACTCTACCTCTTACATTCACCGTAGGTAAGAGTCAGCACCTTAGCATACAAGACAGAAACCCCAAGTATTTATACACTAGAGTAATCTAGTGGAAACTGTAAACATGGGTAGTCTTCAAAAAAGAACAGAAGACAAAAAAATCAAAGATAAAGGCACTACCAATAAGGAATACCTAAATGGGAGGGTCACAACATGAGGGAAGCAAATGAAATTTTTAGAAATTAAAGAATTTATTCACTAGAATTAGAAAAAAAAACCCTCACATTATCATACAGTACCAGGCAATGCTTAGGCAGTTTACATATATTAATTCACCTACCTGTCAGAAAACTCCATGAGGTATTTAATATTCTCCTTTCTGAGCAAGGCCACAGGAGGTCCTTTTGTAAAAAGTAGTATAGGACCATAGGTAGCTGAGCTATGATTTAAACTCTAGTAGGCAAATGCTAGAACTTGTACTTTAGCTCTGCATTTTTGCACTATAGAAATCAGTATTTGAAAACTGGAAAACAGATCTAAGAAATTCAAACCAAATATAACAGATGATGTATGAACAAGGTGTTCTCCTTTTTTTAAGCCTAGGACCCCAGCACTTGAATTGATGTCTCCACATTTAGGATGGTTTTTCCTTCCTCACTTAAACCTATCTGGAAACATTCTGAGAACTTTTCCAAATGCTTTTATCTTATGTTAATGGTTCTCAACCTACAGGTCTCAACCTCTTTGGAAGTTGAAGGACAACCCTTTCACAAGGGTTGCTTAAGACCATTGGAAATCACAGATATTTACATTATGACTCATAATAGTAGCAAAATTACAGTTATGAAGTAGCAACAAAAATAATTTTGTGGTTTGGGCGTCATCACAAAATGAGGAATCTGTATTAAAGGCCGCAGCATGAGGAAGGTTGAGACCCACTGTCTTTATTTATTCTAAATCCTGTCAAATTGACAATCATGACTGTCCCACCATATTAGTAGTGGGGTGGTTTTTTTGTTTGTTTGTTTGTTTATTCTGTTTTGTTTTTGTACAAAGCAATATTGACACCTAAAATTTTAGAATTGTGTTTTCTATCTGAAGACCTGTTTTATTCTGAACATTTTGTTCATTGAATGTATAAAGTTCTTTCAGCCTCAATGGGGAAATGTGCCACTTTTATGTCCTGGATGCCAATCACTAGGGAGTGCATTTGATGAGCATTAGAAGTCAAAAGTCAAAATTGTGCTTCTTAACTTTTCAGTTAGAGCCAGCCATTCTGGTGTTCAATATTGTCTTCACAACCATAGAATTGTCTTCATGTCCATGGATCACTTCTTGCCCACATTTCTAGAGTCACAATAACAGTTGTAAATGTTAAGGCAAAGTAAATGTAATTTAGCAGCTACCTTCAAGCAGGGATAACCCCTTTATCTTCGTTTTTGAGAAGATAAAGTGACTGAAGACCCATTGAGATTGACTTGCCTGAGTTTTCACACTTTCTGAATAGCAGAAGAAAGTCAGAATGTCACATCGCCCACTTCCTGCTGTGGCACTCTCTAAGCTTCGAGTTTAGGACCCTTTTCTATCATTAAAACTTATCTAGGACTTCAAAGACATTTGTTTATAGAGACTCTGTCTACTAATATTGTATTAGAAATTGCTAATGTGATTTACAGAAATACTTGTTTTTATTTTTTTAATCTTTTTTATTTATTGGGGGGGGGGTCTAGATAGAGTTTTTCTATGTAACACCCCTGGCTGTCCTAGAACTCACTCTGTAGACCAGGCTGGCCACAAACTCACAGAGATCTGTCTGCCTCTGCCGCCTTGTTTTCTTATAATTATAGTTTTATGAAGATAACTGACTGTTTTCCAAAACAAATGACAGCTTGTGAGAGCAACAGCATTGTTTTACCTCCTTCCAACTCTATGCCTGTCTGCACAACAGTTGTGTTCTCTTATCTGCTTCTGTGATATTCCATAGTACCTTATACCTCTGTTAGCTCCTGGAAACCCTTATCCTGATGTACCATTTGGAATTAAAAAGGCTGGCTGGAGAGATGGCTCAGTGGTTAAGAGCACTTGTTACTCTTGCAAAAGACCTGGGTTCAGTTTCTAACATCCATGTGATGTCTCACAGCCATCTGTAACTCTAGTTTTTGGTGACCTTATGGCCTTTTGTGACCTCTATCAGCACAGCAATGCACGTGGTATATGTTCTTACATCCAAGCAAAGCGCTCATACACATTCAAATCAGTCTTTTTAAAATTTTGTAAAGACTCAAAACTTATTTTGATCCAGTAGATGCTCTGAAAGGACCTCAGGCATCTTTGTATGAGAACTACGGTGCCTTCCAGTTTCCCCCAAAGTTCAAGGACTTTTGCAGTGTGCATTTGTTGTTAGCCTTTCATATTCCATCCTTCCTCTGTGGGAGCAGACAGGTATTTTGGTTGTTTGAGCAGCTGTTTTGTTTTGCTAAGGTCTTGCCATGAGAAAAAGAATGATGTAGGATCTGATTAGAGAAGTGACAATAAGAGCTAAGAACTTTGATGACAGTGACAGTGCTCATCAACCCCTTTCCCTGATCATTGGACTCTAGTCTTCTGTCTGTCTGCTTCTCCTTCACCATTTTGTCTTCCATGAAGGGAAGTTAAATGAAGTGTCTAGGTATCTGGAATCTGTCTGTGGCTTACTGGCAACCACAGTGGCTTAACACTCAATATTTAGAAGCTAATATTCTCCACCAAAATGAAACTGCTCTGAATTTGCTTATGTCATCTGCCTGAAAATATTAATAATTAATAATTTTTAGAAACACTAAAAACAATGATTTATTACCTGAGGAAGATAGGGTCTTTGACCAAGTACACACAGCTCTGCTCTTTATTTGTTGCTGCCTGGGCTCTGTTTCAGAACCAGCTGCAAGTGTTCTAATCTCTGAGGACTGATTGGTTCAGGTGTACCCCTCATTTATGTTACCATTTAGTTCGGTGTCCATTGGCAAATTACCAAGACCAAGCTATTCTGACCCAAGTGGCTCCCATGTCAGCATGCATAGCCTTTGGGGGGGGGAAAAATCAGCCAAATCTGACCAATTCACAAAGCTATTCGTGAAGATGTAAAACACCAAAGACACTCAGTCTCCATTATGGTACCCAGACCATAGTTGAGGTTAGGTATTAATAAATGCTCCAATACTTTTTTCTCTGTCATTTAGAGCAGACAAATTAGATCAGTACAACTTTTTTTTCCGTCACATCTTTCAGACAAAAACAGAGTGTGCATGCTTTTTTGAGTAAGGAAATCATGGAATTTATCTAACCTTATATGAACTTTACAAATGTATCATACAAAAAAAAGTTATAGTTTTCCATTTGACCACTACAGTTCTTAAAACCATAAACTCTCAAGATGTAATTTTTATTAAATGACTCATAACTGATTTCCTATTTTGCTATGATATTTTAATAGGGAAATAGCAGCATGGCTTAACATTTTGTACTATACCAACATAAGAAAATGTATGACTTTTTGAGTATTGTACACATCAGATATAAGAATTAGTTATATTATTAAATACATTGTTGTGTTTCAGGCCACTTGCAAACGAGATCACAGACTTGAAAAGTTGAAAACTGTTTGCTGTTTCCTAGAGAAAAAGAAGGAAGAAGTGTTGAAACAATTTGATGAGAATACTAATTGGCTTCATCGAGTGGAAAGTGAAATGAGACTCTTAGGTCAAAATGGTGACATTCCAGAGGTACAAATATGTATATGTATATGTAGTTAGATTTAATCCTAGAAACTGAGCTCCTTAAATTTCTTATATTTCTTGTTGAGTAAATAGCTTTCATATGACAACGGTTGCCCTATTTCTCTGAGATTTAATTAGTTCACTTTACTGTTTTTAATGACTATATCTTCAGCTCACTAATTACCTAATTGGTTTGTGGTTTCGATTTTCAGAAGGGTCAATTTATTTTTAAGTGGTTTTTAAGTAACTGTCCTTTGTGAAGTAACTCTTAAGTTAGAATTAAGCAATTCTGTTTCAATCTAGTCAAGACTTCATCATCTAGGCCCCTTAAACTTTTCCACTCACAAGCTCTTTTTACCTTAGTAATTTTTCTGTCGTCCAGAATATGTAATTATGTAATAGATATACAGATCAAGAGTTTACACATTATAAATAATAGAGGAATTTATTTTAAAGCAGTAGTTCTTTGGAGAGTGAAAAGTTGTGTATGTGCCATTATTAAAGGCAGAAGCAAATATGAATACTAATGAAGTAAATGATCTTATTAATAGGGCAACTTTTCAGAATTCATCATTTTTTTTTTTTTTTAATGATCTGGAATAGCAAGAATGTTACCTTTTTTATAATGCATAGTACAAAATGGCAGAGGTTTACTTAGGCCATTTTAGAAATGATTGGAAGTTATTTCATGATCACAGCAAGCCAAAAGTCATTTACTGATGTTTTATGAAATTCATTCAACATCTCAAATAGTACAATGAGAAGATACAAAAATCTGAAACTTAGATGCTGAGGAACAACAGTAAGAAAGTCTTTATTTTCCGTAAGTAAACCATGGTGTTTTTATAGAATAGAAATCTTTGTATGTACAGTAAAAGCACTACGGTTCTTAACATGCAGGAGTCTTGAATGAGAGCCAGTGTGTTTCAGACAGCTGTCATTGGCATTACCCAGTGCAGAATGCTATGTATTAAGGACTCGGTTTTACAATGAAGTTGTGATTCAGTGTGAGGATATGCAGCCAGAAACACATCTTCCTATTTACACATTTGATAGTGAATTAATTTGTGATCATTGTGTGATCAAAACCTTTTACTGTGGCTATGTTATTCTCCACACCCACATTCAGGTTCGTAGCCCAATATGAGAGTGCACTCACCAGTTAAGAAGGTAGGAAGTGGATAGTTTAAGTTTTAAACTTGATACATTCATTTAAAAATTAGCTAAAGTATTTGTAGTTTTAACATACTGCCTTTTTCAACATTGTAGTACTTATAGAGTTAATATTATTTGAGTTATTAATATTGAATTTAGTTTTTTAATATTCTCACATATAATTTTTCAAATAATCTAGAATTTTTGTTTGTTGTTTGTTGAGAGATCTAGGTAACCCTGGCTGGCTTGAAACTCATTATGAGGACCAAGCCGGCCTTGAATTCATAGAGATCTACCTGCCTTTGTCTCTCCCAGTCTCTACCACACTCTGCCTATCCGAAGATACTTCCAGCAGTATTTCTGTACACCAGACTATAAGCCAGTATTTTTAGTCCTTTTTATATTTTATTATAGATAACACAAGAAAGAAAGCCAACACTTTGTAGTTATACCACCTAACTCCTTAGTTCTATTTTTGTAAGATGTTTCACAGCTGAAACAATTATCTAGTCATAAGCACTTACTTCCTGTATAAACAAAATGTGAGGTGACTTCACAGAGAGACTTAACCCAAGATCCAGCAACTCATGACAAACACTACTTTATGAATTTAAAATGAATGCTGTTTTCACTATACCTTCCTTCATTATCTGCTTTTTAATCATACGTCTTTATCCAGCAGTACTACAATTGTAATTCATACTACCAACTCCCCCACCCCTGTTATACTGAAACACTTGACCTTTCTGATTTTCTCTACTACAACCAACCTAAAAACTTGAGGGCTACCATTGACAGTATCACCCTTCAGTGTCTTGCCCCTACTGTAAACTATGATGGCTGACCAAACCTGGTGCAATCTGGCCCCTCGTGTTTCTAAAGCTGGCTATTACCTCCCATTTACTCTCTACTTCAGTTGGTGTTAGCTGACTTGTACTTCTTGTACTTGTGGTCTTCTCTTCAGATGTGATCACTGGTGTACTGAGACAAGAACACACTAAAATTGCAATCTTGGTTTTCCCCAAGGCCTATGATTACTGGGTAGGAAGAGTGGTTGTAGAGGATAAAAGGAAGAGCTGGGTTTTATTGTTTGGTTTGTTGTTTTGTTAGGAAAACAGTTGGAACTATTTGGAAAACATGTTTCCGCACTTATTTGATTTTCTAACTAAAAAACTATAAGGAGATGATGTAAGATGAATCAGTTCAGCTCTTACACTTTAGTCAAGTAAACTGATCTCCATAAAGGCCATGTATTTGGCTTGAGCTGACATTTGTTTTAAGACTGAGCATATCCCTAAAAATCAAATGACTCATAGGTCAATCCTCTAGACATATCCTGATGCCATAAAAAGTGTTTTTATCTGAAATACATGATATATTTCTTGAGGTATAAAGGTGAATTATGTAAATGAATTGTGCTGGCTAGTTTTATGTCAGCTGGATGCAAACAAAAGTCATTTTTAAAGACAAGACCTCAATTGAGAAAATGCCCCCGCCAGACTTGCCTGTGGGCAAGCCTGTGCTACATTTTCTTGAATCTCAAAGTCCCTACTTATCACTGGTGCAGGAAGTATTTCATATTTAACAAACCTGCTGAAGAGCCTACATTCCTTTGTCATTACTACAACAATAATATTTTATGTCTCCTCCTTTGATCTTTAGCATAATAAATTGATAATCATAAAAATAACCCCAACCCCTCCCCGCCCCCCAAAAAATCTAAATCTATACTTTAGACAATCCATGTTTAACTGTAGACTAGAAGGAGTATGAAAAAAAATCCAATTAGAATATCAAATTTTTTACTAGAAGAAAAATTCCAGGCATAGCTGTACTGTTTATTAGATTGCTAGCTTACCAGTCCAAATGTTACCAGGAATACATTTTTTCATTTCACAATTAAAGATGCTAACACTGCTGGTTTTTGTTTGTTTTTGTTTTTGTTTTTTGGGGTTTTTTTTATACTTTTCTAAATCCTCTGAGCTGATATTTTTTGTGTTTAGGATTTAATGAATTGCAGGAAAAGTGAGTAAATTATAAGGGGTAAATTAGAGAGTACCTGGCCCTAGATAGAAGAGCATTGACAAAATGGAAATATTCAAAAGACTTTTTATTTTTCTAAGGTGAAGCTGTAGCATGAATCTTAACAGTTCTTATTAATAAGATCAAACCCGAGGCCAGTTATTGGGGTCAATGCTGGTAGATCAGAGAGACAGAACAAGCCACAGCTATCTCACCTGGCCAACTTTTCGGCTGGTCTTGTTTCCTCAGACTGGAAGCTTCTGTGTCCTCATCCCAATGGCTCTCAGCTGAACTGCTGCTCGAAAGCCTGAAGCTTAACCAGCTAAAAGCTTAACCAGCCAAATGCTTAACCAGCCAAATGCTTCTAGTTTCTGGTCCTCACGCCTTATAAACCTTTCTGCTTTCTACCACCACTCCCTGGGATTAAAGGCTCGATTTCTGGGATTAAAGGCGTGAGTCACCATGCCTGGCTCTTTCCAATGCGGCCTTGAACTCACAGAGATCCAGAGGGTTTTCTGTCTCTGGAATGCTAGGATTAAAGGCGTGTGCTAACATTTTCTAGCCTAAGTATCTTGTGGCTTTTCTGTCTTCTGACCCCAGATAAGTTTATTAAGGTACACAGTATTTTCGGGAACACAATACCACCACATGAAGCTTGTAAGAATATAAGGGGTAAGAGAGAAAGAGAATTATATAGCATGCAACTCAACACTGGGCCTGTATACTGAGCTAACCTGATCATAGTCCGTCTGTGGATGAACCTTACCTTCTAGTAGAAATGGAACTACAGAGTGAATCCATAGCATTCTTATTGGTCAGTGCTATTGCAGTGTTGGAAGATAAGGATTGCCCATCTTTAAATATAGTATTCAAGGAATGCCTCTTGGTGGTAGCATTTAAGTAAAAACTTCTGGTACAACTGTATTTTCACCATATTGTGAACAAATTAGGTCACTGGAAAAGCTGTCATCATAGTATACCTTTTTCTAGATGCCTAACATCCATTTACTGAAGAAATTTAAACTCTTACCTTGCCGGTAAGTTCTAGACTTACCTAGTTTTATGTTCAGCTTGACACAAACTAAACTCATTTGCACAAGATTTCTTACTGTCTAAATTTCTCAACATGTTTTTTGTATGTTTTTTAAAAAAGACCTTGTTGTCCACATGAATGTTATATTAAAATTAGCATAATTCTTTTAAAAATCTAAAATAAACATTTTTCGTTATTGTCCCTAGGTACTCAGTAAAGATCTTCATTGTCACCATTTACACCTCCAGACCAAAGACCTGCAAACACAAATGGGACACATGAGGGCTCTAGCTTGTCTCCAGGAGCAGCAGCACAGGCAGACTGAAGCGTAAGTACAAGGCGCTGGACAGTCGACCGATTTTAATGCTGCAGGAAACTGAAATTTGTCTGATAAGGGAGTCATTAATTTGAATTGTTTGTCAGCACCAGGAAACACACGGGAAGAAGCCATTGAGAGAATGTGAGGGACGTGATTCTTTCCTAATAACTAATTTTTTATAATACTTCGTAGATTTTCAATGAATTTTCCTTTTTAAGATTTCATGTTTTGTGCTAAAGAAATTAAAACTGCTATTAACATCAATTAAATTAGATCATTTTTAGTTATTAGTAATTTCAGAATGATTTTTTGATGGGTTTGCCTTCTTAATCTTCTGCCTTCTGCACTCTTCCCAGTCTTCAGATGAAGTCTGGGTCCCTACCCAGGGCTTCAGCCCAGGCTGATGAGCCTCACCTGCACCTTGGCAACCTCTAAGTTTAGACCAGGAGACATCCTGTTTGCCAGCCAATCCTTCTGTAGGCACATGAGACATGCAATCGAAAGAAAAATCCATGTACTTAGATCTCATTACTATTACTAGCTTTTAATGAGCATCAGGTGTCTCAATTATTTTATAATCTTTATTAATTAAATAATTTTCTTTGACAATTTCACAAATGTGTGTTGTGACCATTCCCACCATCTCCAACCTCTCTCATCTCAATGTTGTCTTCTACCCTTTCTTCCCCATAGATCACCTTTTCACCTTCCGTTCTATTTGGGGGGGGGGGGGGGGGGTTATTAATTGGTTTGGTTTGGTTTGATTTGGTGACCCAGCAAGTTTAACCAGACCCATCTGCATGATCATTAGTTTGGAGCTATCCACTGAAGTCTCCTGGGCTCAGCATTGGATACACAACTGAAGACAGTGATTCCCCCTTTCCCGGTAATTCAGCAGTAACTGGCAGGGCACCTGGAGCCCCTCTCCCTTCCTCAGTTGATTGGTGACAGGGCCAGTGTTGTAACAGCAGTTGTTATAAGTTCATGATTACAATGGCTGTATCGTCTAGAGGATAGCATTTGCAGCAGTCGTCCCCCCCAACCCCCCAGCTCTGAGATACTTCCAGTGTCTTCTTTCATGATGTTCCTTGAGCCTTAGAAAGGGTGGTGTAAATGCCTTATTTAGGGCTGAGCCCTCAACTATCACTTTTTCCCAGCATCTTTGGCAGCTGCAACTCTCCAAATTCATCATTGTTCACTGCAGAGACTTCTCTGATTAAGGTTAATAGTAGCTTTCCATGCATGGGTATAAACATAGAAATTTATAAGGCAATTAGATGCAATCAGTTTAATTCAACAGTAGTGAGTTACCCACTTAGCCAGTGACTTCCCCTGGCATAGGTGCTAACCAGGCTTCAGTCACAGGCATGAATTCAGTCACATGGACTGTGCTTCAAATCTAGTCAGATGGTTGCCCTACCTTTTTTTTAATTAAATACCATTTTTCATTTATTTTACATACCAGCCACAGTCTCCTCCCACCCACCCACACCCCCACCACTTTTGCACAGGTTGTGGCACATCTTGCCCAGAAAACTGGTGGGGTTTTGCTTTGTTTTTTGTACTCATGGGGTTCACAGCTGGTAAAACCACTGCAACCTTAATAGCATTCTCCAACACTTACATTCCACTAATTAAAAAATAAAATCTACAAGAAATGGATGAATTTCTGCATGCATATAAGCCACCAAAATGAAGCAAAAATGAAATAAATAATTCAAACAGCAACAACAGTGAACCAACAATAAAAAGACCAGATGGATTTACTGCAGATCATATCAGACCTTCAAGGAACTAATACCAATGCAATACATATTGCTCTATAAATGGGAAAGGAAAGTAAGCTTCCAACTGTATGGAGGTAGCATTACCGTGATACCAAAACCCAGGTAAGCACACACACGTACAAACTGTTATGATGAACACAGATGTAAAACATCTTGATATAATACTGACATACTGAATTTAAAATCACAACAGAAAGATTAGTCATCATGATCAAGTTAGCTTCATTTCAGAGATTCAGGGGTTCTGCATATATAAATCAATAAGTGTAATACGTCACAGAATGGATAGAAATCATGATTATCTCCAGAAACACAGAAAAGGCCTTTGACAAAATCCTATGTCCCTTTATGGCATAAGTCAGGAGACAACACTGGATGTGCTGCAGGATGCACAGAGCATATACTTCAGCATAATAAAGGCTATGTTTGACAGACCTGTAGCCAGCATGTTGCTAAATGGAGAAAAGCTCAAAGCATTCTCACTAAGATTAGAAATTTGACAAGGGTGACCATCCATTCTTTCCACTTCTGCTAACTATAGTGCTTGAAGCCTGAGCTAGGGCATTAAAGCAGGATACGGGGTGATAAATATAAGAAAAGTCCAAGGTTCCCTACTTGAAGATGATACAGTTCTGTAATTAAGAGAGCTTATTGACTTCGCTAAAAGCTCTTAAAACTGACCAACACTTTGCAGATAGTGGGATGCAAAATGAACACACTGCCACAGAAACCTTCCTGTAACTCCAGTGACAGATATGGGAGTGAACCTAACCGTGAAAACAAAAGACCTCTACAATGAAAATTCTTAAAACACTGAGGAAACGAAAAGATCTCCCTTGGTCATGGATTGGGAGAGTTAGTGAAAATGACCAGAGTGTTTCTGTTTTTATGTGTTTTTATATTCACTGTACAGCTCACTAATAGCATTTTTATTCTCAAATTTTTTAAGTGTATGATTTTCTTAAAAAGTGTAGCTTGATCTCTTTTGTCATCTTTTATAAATCAATTACAGTTTGTTAGGTAAGCATTGCTTTGAGGTTATATAAAAATGAGAGGTTTGTTTCTCCAGAGGGCTGCCATTCAGAAATCCCATTAGCATTCCACAGGTATTCTCAAATTGCTCATGATTAATTTTCTATGCTTTTGACTTAAGCTATTTTTAAGATGAAGAAAAACTGGATGATTATTTTATAAATGGGAGCTTACACTCTTTCCCCCCCACTCATTGTAGATCTGCAGCTACTGCAAATCACCATCACTTGCTATCAAGTAACATGTAGGAGTTTAGACTTTCAGAGACATGGTAGTTTATTTTAACCCCACTGTGTTATTATACCAGACACAGAGATTGATATGCCTGAAATAAGCTTTTACCTTAGTAATGAGATAAAATGGATTCTAACTGATTTCAAGAACTGATAAACCAAAACATCTCAAAAGCAATGTGGCATTGTAGAACATGAGTAAGTTTTTTGGACTCAATCTTTAATTCTGCTTATTTTAGCAATATATCCTTGTAGAAACTATATAGCATTGATAAGGTTGAGATTTCTCATTCATAAAAGTAAATTATTATGCAAACATAACATGGTACCTGATTCTTAAAACCATTCCCAGGTTTAATGATTTACTAGTGTTCATGAGATTCACAGTTGTACTTAAAGCTGTGAGTTAGTTTAGCAAAACAATACAAAATAAAAACAGCAAAATGGAAAGGTATATAGTATAGTCTGGAAGAGACTGGACAATTAAATTTCAAGAATCTTGTCAAGTGCCAGACATGATGGTATTTGCCTTTAACTCTAGCATGACAGAGGCAGCTGCAGAAGGATTGTAAATTTGAGGCTCTCCTGGTCTGTGTGGCAGTAGTGAGAGTCTAGCTTCAGAAGGGAAGAATCTTGTGCAGTGAGGCACAGGTTATGCTTAATTTCAGCAAAAAGCTGTGACATCACATTGGAAATTGGATCCTGTCAGTGCCTCAGGGTTTTATTGGCGTGATTTCCTACACACCTCTATCTGATAGATAAAAATTTCAGACTTTCCAAAGGAAGGTTAGGCAGTTCTGATAATAATGTCTGTTGCTTAAATACACACTTTAAATAAAGTGAAACGCTCGTCATTTCCAATCTGGAAATTATGGAACTATTCCTAACATCAAAAGCAAAGCTTTCCTAGCACTTTCAGACCTAGTAATCGTACTCCACACAACAATACAGTTGTCAAAAGTACGGGGCTATGTAAGTATTTCCTACTGTAGCTGTCCTTTTCAAAGATCCTCAGTCCCTTTCCAACACTTACTGCTAAAAATTGTTCACTTTATCTCTCTTTCTGTGTAGTTACTGTATTAGATTGTGTATTCCCTATACCAAAATGTCCGTAAGTTTGATATTGATGCAACTATTTTAAGTCTAACTGCTTGGCCTATCAAGAAGCCATAGGTGAGTCATGATCCAAAAAGTGTCAGAGAGAGATTTAGGACTTGTAAAATGACAGTGTCACACAGAAACTACTACAACCACTAATGAAGCCTGCTTTTCCTGATTTCCATCCAGGTTTCTCTTTATACTGGATATATTAAATATATGTTGATCTGTTTGGGTGAAATTACATTTTTTTACAAAGCAAATTTGAATTATGAAAAGATTTTCATATTGATGGGTACTAAGGGAGAGGCGGAAAGATAATCTTTAGGAAAGGACATTTTGACCTCGCCTAGACTGGGTGCAGGCTTTGCAAGAGAATTTACCAAATAACATAAAGGAAATCATAGGAAATCATTTTAATTATATTATAATACTTTGCTTGTTATACAAAAGAACCATAATAATGTGTGTTTTAAACTTCGTGTTTCTTTCTCCTTTCTTGTCATCTTCTGTTTGTAGAGTATTGAATGCTTTACTTCCGGCCCTAAGAAAAATGTATTGCGTGTCAAAAGAAACTGGCCTGTCAAACACTGCTTTTGATGCTGACTTCAAAGATATTGAGCATTTGGTAGAGAGGAAGAAGATGGTGGTTTGGGCTGACCAAACTTCCGAACATTCAAACCAAAATGATCTTCCAGGGATGTCTCTTCTTATGACCTTCCCACAGCTCGCCCCAATTCAGTCTATTCCTTGTTGTAAGTACAGCTTTTTATTTTACTCAGTAAGTGGTAGCATTATTTCTAAGGAGATTGTTTATATTCCAATCTACAGAATAGTTGATTTCTTTTCAATAGATCTAGTTATTTGGATGATTGCTAACAAAGAAGCTAGCTTCCAAGGAATTTTAGTTAACAAGAATCTCGCAGGACCTGCCAGCATGAATCTACTGATGTTCTGAGTAACTAGCAGTGTCATTTACTTCTCATTCTTATTTAAATTTTAACTTCAGTTGAAGACTAAAGTTTATAATAAATAATACTATACTCTATAATCTATAATACTCTAACCTTAAGAGTAACTAACACTATAGAATTTACTATTTTTCTATTGACATTAACTATCTCTCCTTTCTCTACAAAATTGTGCATAAGATAGTTTCATTATGAAACTAATATAAAATCTTGGTTTAAAATAACACTTTCTAGCAATGTAGAATACCAAGCAGAATGCCTTGTCTTTGAGATAACTGATGTTATCAATTTGGTGATCTTTATATGCTCTCTCTCACTTGAACATTCTGTTTCCCCTTGAGCTCTCTGGATTCTTACACAAATATGTTTTTATTGGGTAAGCCTCGCTATTTGTTAGGTTTCACATGAATGCTAGCACATTACATTTTGGTCTGCAACTTTTCTCGGTTCCTTAGTTTTCTGTAAACATTTTAAGTGTACCTACATCAGGAATTTACCTCATTTAAAAGTTTGAGGACCTACAAAATAAAGTTGCAGTGATTTAATCAATATTCTGTTGAGTAGTGCATTAGAGATTATGTCTGTGTATATTACTCAGAATTTGCGTTGCTGAGAACAGATACCTGAGAAAGGTTTTATTTTGATCAAAGATTTTGCAAAAGATTCAGTCCATGGTCACCTGAGCAGATCATACTGTGAGCAGAAGCACATTGTGGAGGAGTTGGCAAACAGGGAGCAGAGAGGGGGTGGGCTGGGGGCCAGGGATAACCTTGAAATTTATGCCCACCTCTTCCAGTGATGCCCAACCTCCAAAAGTTTACAAAGCTTCCAAACAGCACCCACAGCTGGTTTAACACATGAGCCTGTGGGAGACATTTTATATTCAAACCATAGCTATATGTATTTACATCTGTGCTTTCCTAGAAATTGATTTGCTAGATTAGAAAACAAAAACAATTTTTTCAGTTTAAGTACTTTGAACATTCTGAGTCCCCAAAAGTAAAAGTTATTTGTGTAATACCTAAAATCCCAGATGCCTCAAAACTGAAACAGAGCCAATGTGACAATCAGAAGTTTTGGATTTGGGCTCATTTTGTATCTTCACGTTAGATATGTCTATACCAATATTCCAAAGAAAAAAGAAAATATCTGAACAATTGTGGTCTCTAGTGTTTAGGATAAAGGATACTGTATCTGTACCTAGTACTTATAAAAGTACATGTTTAATTTTTATATAAACCAGAACAGTGACACATGCCTTTAGAATCTGTTACTTTGAATTGCTAGTAGCATTGATACATCTTCTATTATATATCTTTGGTGTTTGTTGAGTTAGTCAGGGTTTTTGGTGTTATTTGGGATTTTAAGGGGAGTTTGATTTTTAGATGGGGTCTTGACTATGTAATTCAGACTGCAATTTGAAGCCAAATCTGGCCACAAACTTGATATCCTCCTGCCTCTGCATCCTGAGTGTTGGATTATTAGTATATACCACAACACCCAGTGCTTTATCAAATCTTTAGTTGTTCTGTATTCTTCCGTGGATGTATTCAATTGTGGAGAATTGTCTAGTGATCTGGCATCTTGAAGCTTTGTTACCCCTCACTCTCAGTGCGCCCAATGTTGCTAAGCATTTTTGTCACTTCCTCCAGCAACACTGCAATGGCTCTTCTTGGTTGTCAACTTGATACACCTTGGATGGGATGAGAGACCTGCTACTGAGAAAGAGCCTCTCTCAGATTGGCCTATGGACATGTCTGTGGGGCATTTTCTTGCTTTCTAAGTGATGGAGGAGGGCACAGGTCCCAGAAGGTTGTGTAAGGAATCTCACTGAACAGTAGTAGTGAGCAAGCCAGTAAGCAGTGTCCTTCCATGAGTTGTGCTTCAGGTCTTGCCTCCAGGTTCCTGCCTGGAGCTCTTGTCCTGACTTTGATAGATGATGGACTACAAACTGTAGGCTAAGGTAAACCCTTTTCTCCCTAACTTGCTGTCATCAGTATTGATCACAGGAACAGAAACCAGTTTTCAACAACCAGCAAACAGCCGTAAAGAGAAATTAGTTTTAATTTTAGAAATGACCATCCTAAGCTTCCAGCTTCTCCTACGTGTGGCTCTCAACAGTTTTAACAATCCAGCACTTTCAAACTGATGTTTTCACTTTGTACAGATTTTTTTTAGTTGTCTTCTGAAGAAAGATTAATTTGGATTAGCTATGTTTCTTTTACTAGCAGAAGGTGAAAAATGTTTACATGCAATGTGTTGATCATATTCTTTCCCTACCCCCAGCTCCTCCCAAATCCTCTCCACCTTACTTCCCATCTCATGCTGTTTCTCTCTGAATACACACAGTCTTGCCTGATCTCAGGAGCTAAGCAGGACCAGACCTTGTTAGTATTTGGGTGGGAGCTCTCTATATTTTTACATTAAGGTGACAGGAGTTAGATGTATTATTTGAAAATCTCTCCCCATTTCATTCTCCCCTCTCCTCACTCTCAAATATGTGAATATACATATATTAATCATTTTTCTTTTAATGAGGTGTTATCTTTAGAATTTACCTCGTGAGATATTTGGAAAGCAGCACTTAAAATATGCTTTCATCTCTTGCACTTGCTTCTTTCTTTATTATGAATTCAGTATATTGGAAAGGAAGTGGAGTTTTAGCACCAAGACTGAGAACTACCAACTACCTGCTATTAAATGGTTATTATTCCTTATTTTAAAGTCCATATCTCTGTTATAATGTACTTGCATGGACTATATTTGTCAGCAATAAAATAAAACACTTATTTGGCTATTTTTCATGATGTTTCAAATGGAAAGACTTGAAATTATTTTAGAAACCTGTATTATTTTTCTTTTAGATTCAGAAAGAATATCAGGTTAGGTTTTGTATTCATGGTATTTTTTTCTTGGTTTGTTAATTTTAGTATTTAGTTCAACTGGTTTCATAGATTAGCTATTTGCATGTCTTACTCCATGAGTTGTACCTGTTGTGTGTATGATGTACAGAATCAAAGAAGGATAGAAAGAAAATGTGAGTCTATGTATAAACTCACTGTTCTTGATCTTGAATGTATTGAATTATGTTCATGGGGAGGGACAGACAGTCCATTTTATGTCTTGTATATATATACTCATGAACAGTACAAACAGGTTTTGTTGTTAAGTTCCAAAAATATTTAATGCTATTAAACTTGACTTTTTTCAACTTAAGAATCTTTATATCAGCAGCAGTATTTTTATTTAAAGCATGTGTGCACTAAAGCATAGTTTATATAGCATTTATTATGAGACTAATCATAATAAATAACTTGTACTCTATTGTTGAATATTTAAAACAGTGAATGTTGTTGAAAGTAATATTTCCATAAGCAACTATTTAGATTTATCCTAGTGCTTTTGTCTAAATAAAGCAAGCAGAGTCCCATCTGCTTTCTTTTGCTTCAGTTTCTTTACTGGATTATTCTGAAGTCAGTCTTACACATATATTTCTTCCATTTATATTATTTGTCTCTAGAAGAAAGTGTACTAATGTATTCACACCTAATGTTATTAAATATATAATCAGCATTCACATTTCCCTCACTGTTACAGAACTGACTGGTTTCTATACTTTGTTAAAGTTGGAAGTCAGGCAAGGGCTATATTTCATAACTGGTTATGTAGCCTCTTTTGCCTCTTTTGACTCAGGGTCTCACCATGTAATCCTGGCTGGCCTGGAACTTGCTATGTAAACCAAGCTCCTTGAACTCACAGAAATCTAGCCAACTCTAGATCCCCCTTCCACATGCTGGGATTTAAGGTATGCACCACCACTCCCAGCTATATGACCTTATTAAATCTGAGGTTCTGTCTCATTTTTGTCTTTCCTAATTGCTTGTTGACTTTTTGCCTATTTAGTGGGCATTAATACAATTTACGTTTTTGCTTACCAGCATATGTGAATTTCTTCCATTTATTTAAGAGTTTTTTTCCATAACTTACCTACTATTCATTTTAGTATTTTTCTTGTACAGTTCTTTTGCATAAATAAAGAAATAAAGTTTGTTTACAGGCACCTAAATATGAGGATATTTGTTTATTCATCAATAATATTGAATTACTATATGTAAATTGCTTAGGAAATATCTATATACTTAGGATTATGCACACAGACATACACACAGAGATACCTAACATCAATTAGAGACATGAAGGACAAAATTTGAAGAGAACGGGAGCAGTACATGGACGCATTTGGAAAAAGGAAAGAAAAGGGGAAAATGTAATTGTCTCAAAAATATATTTTAAAAGGGGGGGAAAATACATCACAGTGCAAAACAAGCTCCTGCCTCATTGAACCTCTAATTAGGAAAGAAAATATAGGTCAATTAAACAGAGTTTAGGAGTAGATTGCAGCTAATTTACTCTTTTTATAAGCATAATAAAGGTAGTTCTCACTGATAAACTTAAAGGACCTTACAGATATGGCCAGAGTATCTACACTGTGTTTCAAATAGGGAGAATAAGCCATGCTAAATCATAGCATGGAAATTTGTCTAAGTTGTTTCAAGAAAGGCAAGCATGAAATACAATTATTAACAAAGGAAGGTAAATGATAAAATTAGAGTTAAAGAGAAGGCAGATCACACAGGATTATTATTAGGAGTTACTCTTTATTCTGCATGCCATGGGGATATATAGCATGATCTGAGCATAGATGGTGTGTTGCATGAATCCTAATGGTCTTAATAAAAGCCCAGAGCCAGATATCAGGGTGAAAGCTGAAAGATCAGAGAGGC